ACATATACAAGCATATATACAAGCACACACGAGTTGTTAACAAGCATTTACTAAGGGCAGCATGGCACATCGAGGCACAGCACAGTGGGGGTGATGTGGGCCAGCACCACGCATTCCTAGCCACCTTTGTCTTGTAGTTTTGATGTTGATCACACACTCCACCAGGTACTTATTTTAAGGTTGACTTGACCAAGGAATGGCCCAGAAGTGGTTGAGACAACTTGCCACTGTTGTGCATAATGTCCAAGAACTAAATCACGTCATTGGGATCATAGCGGAGCGCATGAACCACTGCACCACTGAGTTTAATATACATGCATCCACATAAAAAAGACAAATATCCCCCACTGTAGCCAAATAAGACATGTAGACAGTGCTGTTAGGAAGCACCTATTAAGGCTGGCATTGCGCAATTAAGGGGCGGTGTGGCAAATACCATGCCCACCCGCCTTTACCTCCGAGTTTGAATAGATGTCAAGTATGCGTGGATTTTCTTCAGGAACCCTGGCTTCCTTCCACAGGAAAGCAATTGCAGTGCTTAAAATAACAAGTCACCGAATGAAAGTGAGTCTTTGGCCACGCTGAGCTTTTCCTGGATGAAAAGAATAATCGTATAATCCCTTGGTTGTCTAATTGGTCGAGACTGCGAATTAATTTGCCTCGTGCAGGAGCTAGGTGGATTGCTCGATTCCTGCATCACGAGACTGGGAGAGATGGTGGGAGATGGTGGCGGCTTGGAGAGGCGTTCATCCTGCACAGGATAGATCAAGAGTGGCACAGTCGGGTTTTTTACATTCGGGTTTAGTCTTTTTATATTAAACCCGATCATCTGAGATTGGGAGAGATCCGGTTTAATTGGTTCTAATTGCAGAACCGCACTTCTCAACGATGGGCTTCATCAATTCCAAGCTAAGGAACTCACTGGCGCCCACGATTGTGGAGAAGCTCGTGTTCATCAAGACCAACCTGCCCGCCGCATTCTACGACTACCCCGTGCCCGACGCCCCCCCCCCCCGAGTACGATACCAGCACCGACGAGGAAGCAGCCTAAGCCTATCAGAGTTTCGTATTCATTAAACCAGGTTTTAATTCCCCGAAATCGGGTTTAATTGTATTAAAGAAAAAATCCGATGCCTGTCGCTGGAAAAATCGGGTTTTTTCCACCCATGGAATAGATCATGGCCGATGATGACGCGTGCAACAATTCGACCCTCACCCAAAAATATTGCTTTGATTAACTTTCACATTTCAGGCTTGGGATGCAATTCTTGTTTTGCTTAAATTGTATTGCTTCCAACTTTGTTTGACGATTTGTAACATTTTGTTCACTCCACCGGCCTCAACGTAAAATTACTGATAATTTTGAAAAAACTTCATACATTTTTGCGTACATTTTATGCGTGTATCCAGAGATTAAGAATCGATTTTAATCACTCAATTGCAACATGTCTGATGAGTAATTTCCCAATATAAATAAGGATAAGAATGGCAGTGATATTAATACAGTACAACGCTAAGACAGGCATCATCATCTTTCCCAACACAGCTCCAAGTGGAATGTCAGCAGGATGATGCTAAATTAAGAACATTATTTGCTTTGTCACTACTCTACTGCAATAGTGGGAAGAGCTGATTAAGGTTGGTGTGACGTAGGGCTCAAGGGTTTATTGTCATAGGTTGAGTTTAGGCTTAAGATTTTGGGAAATCGATTAGGGGGGTTGGGTTAAGGTCGGACTTGTGTTAAGTTTATGGTTACAATTACGAATCGGGTTATGATTATGGTTAGGTCTAAGGCGAGGTGTTTGGTTATAGTTGGGGCTTGCATTCGGAGCAATATTAGGGGTGAGGTTTAAGGTTTGGATTAAGAATTGAGTCAGTGTTATGGCTTTAGTTATGGGTAGAATGTGAGTTTTCGATCATGCATATTGGGCCTTTGGCCAGGACCACAGTTTCGGAATCAGCGTTACACACATAGCTGCCTCCACCCACCCAGTTTGGCATTACAGTATCTTCTATTTTTGTTGCGATGCAATCCCATTATTATTCCTCTAGATTCCTACTCCGATAACAATCTGGCATAGACCTGCATGCCAACCCTGACCCATGGACTAACACAAGGCTGACATGACCCCCTCCCCCTACCCAACAGGACTCCCACACGTCACAGCCATAGGTTTCGTAACTACTCAAGACACTCGTTAGAAAAAAACAAAGGAAGTCACGGGTCGGGACATTTGTTGATTTGTTTTTTTTGAGGCCCTCTCTCCCCGCCGTTACATCAGGCCCGTGAGACATCGAGGCCTCACAAACGTGCAGATATTCTCAAGCCACAACCCTGGGTTTATCTTACACGAAACCGCTGTTTGTTACTTGTTTTAATACAGTACCATATTTGAGAACAAAGGGCAAGCGAAGGCAAACGGAGGCGTTCGCATGCGGGCGAGGCCATAGAAAACCACGCACTCGAATTACCAACGACTTAAAGGGGGGGGGGAAATAGACCCACGAACCTGACAATTTAACAACAACAAAATCCAGGCCTAGGAATTCTGGGCGAGACTAATGACGGAATGGCAGCCAAAGGCACGACAATGCCCCCGAGAAGGACCCCACAGCGGACACTGGCCGAGCATCGCATTTGGCCGTGATGGGATGGCAACGACGTGGGCCTTCGTCCACAAGTGGATAGACCACGACTCGCGATGATCGCAAGCACCATTCTTACACACGGTCAGCGGTAAGTGGAACAAGGCAGGTGAGGAAAAGCTAAACGAATGAGTGAACAACACTTAGAGCGGCTTGTCAAGCCAGCAATACAGCAGCTGTACACGTGGTAGGGTTGGCGGATCACAGAAGGACGGGCGAGGCCACCTGTGCAGCAGGAAAGCAAGAATCTGCGCCAAATCCACGTCCTCATCTCCTTCCTCGCTGCTGTCCACCTCCCTGACGACTCCTCCTCCTCCTCCACCACCTCCACCACCACCACCACCCGCTCCTCCTCCGGCCACTGCTCGCTCCGGCTGCTCGGCTCCATCGGCCTCGGCGGACATGGTCCTCGATGCTCGAGATCCCATCACAGGTCGGTGTAGCCGAACATTGCGGCCCCACGCAGACGGCGAGGCCCCGCGGGCCGCGCGGGAAGGGCCGGCGAGAGGAACCGAGTGTCGTGTTGAGACCGCCGAGGTGCCAGAAGGAAGAAGAACGAACGGGGAACGCCGGATTAGAAGCACCGTAGAGCGGCCATTGAGCAACCCCCCCCTCACCCCCCTACTGAGATAGGGTAAACAAGGTGGACAAGTCCAACTCAAACAGGAGGGGTGCGGAGTAGCGTAGTGTCAACATGCCAAACTAGGGATATGTTTACGGTTGCATCGGCAAACTGATTAAATTTGTATATAATTATATTGCATAGCGGCGGATATGGAACGTTTCGTTGCGAAATAACAAAGTTGTCGTGGTTGCGAAATCGCTTTGCACCCCTTGACCCCAAGTGATGGAATGGACGAGTCCGCCTACCCCCCCCCCCCACCGGGGAGTGGAGATGGGAGGCGCTCTACGGATGTGACGTAGCCCGGGCGGAAGTCGCCTCCCTGGTCCAGGCCGCGGTGCCACTGCGGAGGTTTTACCTCTGACAAAAGTAGACAAATCCATACTCTTTGGAGTTTTTTTCGGTAAAGTCACGTAGGTATAAAATAAAATAAATCACGTTTCGGGCGCCCATCATCAGGTGGGAAAGCGCTTGTGTTGCGCCCGAAACGTGATTTATTTTATTTTCCACCTAAGTGAATTTACCGAAAAACACAAAGAGTATGGATTCCTGAAGTCACGAAAGCTTCCAATCCAGATGAGACAAAGCCCGTCTGAAAGCCGCATCTTGCTTCCGAGGAAGAGCCTCGCCTCTGCCACCTGCAAATCGTCGTCATCGCCATCACGATCCATGGGCAGAGTAGCCCGTGGGTTGTTGTTCGCTGCACATTTCCAACCGTGTGTTTCCACTTTATCTTCTGCCTTGCGTTCAATATGCTCAAAGTAGTGCCACATATTTCTCAAATATTTTTGGAAGAACATGAATGCACTTACAGTTTACGCCAAACACTTGCATCGTATCAAGGCCAAACGTTTAGGTTGAGCCCGTAACTCTGGGTGGCCATGCAAAGCTGCATGAGCAAGTGATCAAGGTTGTGATGATGCAGTTCACGGTGGTGTGATGGTGGCAGCATCAGCAGCAGCCTTAGACAAGAGGCGAAAACTGCCATCTGTTCACGGCTCATCTTGGCAAGAAGACATTCTCTTCACTTGGGTTGCCACTTGTCGGGGCTTGAACTGCACCGTCGAGAAATTAGAAATGTGTTCAGGTGACAGGAATAAACAATCCCTGATGCCATGTTGTCCTGATTAATGGTATTTTGCACCGCTTTGATTGACTCAGGCTGAGAAATGTCCAGATTTGGTCTACAGTGGGAGAGGTGGCAACCCTGAATGACTTGGCGCATGTCGATTTCAAATTTTGTTGTAATTAAATAATTTGCATGATAAAGTGCCTGCACGTGACTTGCCGTCACGGCTCAGCCAGCCACCCAAATGACGAAAATACGTCAAAGCATGTTTTATTTTATTATCAAAGATGTGACCAAAGGTATTCTTTCCTCGATGGACTGACCCCAATCTACCTCCCTCCTCTCATCCCACGCACATGAGCAGCAATTACGGCGGTCTAATCACCCAGTTAACCTTCGCTCAGTGGGCGGCCACTCGTCATCCTCTGCTGTGCCCAGCCTGAAACTCCCTTGCGCCAGACATCTGTGCTGTAGACTCCTTTCCTGCAAAAGTTTCGGCTCGAGACCTGTTTCATCTGCCTATGACACGGTAGCATTTAGACGCTTTATAAATCATAATCATTGCATTTCTGAATTGATGACAACGCTCAAACAATTGTCCGACAGCCCTCTATTCACAGCCCTCTATTCACAGCCTTGGTACACATGAAAGAACAGTTTTTTTTAGTGGTGTCTTTCTATAACATCTCCTTATCAACGGTGGCAGGTCTGTGGTTCCTGTTAGCAGGAAACCTCACATAACCCTGGCATGAGGCTTTGACTAAGACCACTGTATCATGCCTCCTTCCTTACACTTCACAACGGAATGCAAAGTGGGGTTTACATTTCACGAGACAAAGGGTTTAAAAAAAACATAACTTTATTTTTTTTAAACGTAAACAACACGTACAATTCCCACCTCATAACGGCCTCTGCATGCCTAAAGTGTTTTATGAGTCGCAACTGACCTTTGACAGGTGTTTGAACTCACAGCTCTTTTCCTTACTGGGGGGGGCAGAGAACTTTCAAATCACTTTGGTGGGCAATCACACATTCACACGCTAACTGATGTCACTGCACGAGGTCCTTGCAGTGACAGAAGTGACCTTGCATGCTAAAATTAGAAACCACCCACAAGGTTGAAAATATTCCCATCCAGTACCCGATTAAAACGGCTAAAGATGCTTGCGGTGAGGTCTTCCGAAGTGATAGGACTCGCGTGGCCACAGGGTTGTCCAAAATTAAGTCGCGAGCTGTATCTGGTCCAGACGTTTCTTGCCAGTGGCAGATTTTTGTATGAAAAGCAGTCGGTCATACAACACATTATGGTTTAGTCAACGTGTTATTTCATGAATCACGTTAAAACGCTACCGAAGATAATCTCCTCTGAAAAGGAAACCTAAGTAATAGTTTTTACTTAAGGATGTTTTGTAATTAAATCTAGTATTTAGAAAAGTCTCAAGACTTTTTCAGAAGGATCCAAGATTGGAATGTTTGTCCAATTCCATAACTGGTTTTTTCTCTTACACAATGGATGGAATCAGTGTCTGGAGAAAGCCTACACGTGAAAGCACTCGAAAATCTGCAGGTTGACACCCTGTTTTGTGTACTGCAAACTGTTGGCTAGCAGCCCAATGAGCTTTTCACCTGTTGATCTCTGTGATCCCTCAACCCCATTACCACAATGGATAAGTGTGCACTAGCATGCCTCCCACACATTCCACAGCCATCCACGGTACACCACTAACAAATCCCAGAACTCAACAGGAAGCCTCTTCACATTTTTAAGCATATTCTTTATATAAAAACATTGTTTCAGGGTAAAGAGATTCATTGTGAGGTCAGGGGTCACAAACAGGGCTTAATTTCGCACTGAATATTCTCTGGGTCGCTGGTTGACTGGAGACGACACACGACTAGCAACTAAGGCCGTAATGAGCAGAGATACACTGAATGTCGTGTGATGGGTGCTTTAATATTTTCTGTGTCGCCAACTCAGACAAAACCGACTAAAATTAAGCCCTGGGCATGACTTCCAACCTCCGCCCTATGCCGTCTGTCCTCACGCGCGCCATGCTTGTTTCCCAGAACTCATCTCGCTGGCGTTAATTGGCTTTGGTGATGATGCCGTCAGGGTAGCGCTTCTTGAAGCGAGCCACCACCTCGGGGTCCAGCAGGTGGATTCCATCCAGCTGGTTACCCAGCGTAACCCTGGCAACAAAGAAATTAACCATGAAGCAGCGTAAACTGATCAGGAAAGAAGAAGTGCAGAACAGAACATTCCACAGCAGAAAGAGCAGGAAATGAGCTTCAACGGTGACGAAGACTGATCATGACGAAAAGCAGGAGAGGAGGGGAAAGTAGGATTAGTTCCGTGGTGATAAACAATGGTGGTATAAACAAGAAAAGTATCTGGCTGTACTCTTGAAACAGAATTAATGTAACAATACTGTCGTCTATAACAGCAAATTGAGCTGCCCACTTTTGGCCTGCAATGACTGCTGGGGAGACAAGGGATGAACAGACTTTAGTGCTGCCAATGTCTGCTTTAGCTCACGGACTTTTCTCTTTGTGTGTGAGCTCCTACCAGTTGGGCTGGATGTTGTGAGGTCTCCCGAACAGCTCGATCTTGCGAGTTCCGGGGGAGAGGCGTTCGATGATTCCATAAATCTCGTCAGGCTTATGACTCGTGGAGCGAACCTGTACCATACGTGGGTGCACAACGGCACCAGTCAAACAATGATAGAATCTACATTCTCGCCGACTCAAATAACAACACGGTTTTAATTTATAAGTGTAAAATATACATATTTTCAAAAATTGTGTATTTAGATGCAGTATACATTCTAAAGTGTTTATGATAATGTGCTAGCCAGAAGAAAATAGTTTTAAAGATCCCTCTAGTGATGAATCATTCATTTTTGGGTCAGGTGGCGCAAGTACAATGTGTGCCATACAGCCTCCTCCCCCTGACAAAGCCGAATAAAGTTATTATGTGAACATGGTAATTTTTATTGCTTAAGCAAAGTGGTATGTTGACCCAAAACTTTCTAACAGAGGATGGTAACGGACCGCAACCAAAGGATGAAGTTACGGAGATGAGTAGTCAGATGGGCGTAAACGTGTTTTAATGTTAAAGAGCAATCCATATTTGACAATGACGATACGGTGCGACGTTTCGCTGGTAATCATAGCCATCATCATCAGGCGATTGCCAGAGTTCATCTCCTGCATTGAAAATGTCCTGCGATCCTCGGCCTTCGCAGTCGGGGGGTACTGATTGCTGAGTCATCGGAATTGAGTAATTTTCAAGTAGTTTTCAAATTTAGCAAATTTGGACCACCGTGCCAGGACACAATGGTTTACTCTCGCAAACGAAGTCACGGCATGTTTAATGTCCACTGTGGGCAGTTGGCGCGTCATAGTATTATTACGGTTATTACACCCGCAGTAATAACCAGGGCGACCACTGATTCGAACTATGAACCTCTGCAACAATTGGAGAGCACGCAACCGCTGGGCAATGTAAACATCTCTTAATTATCCTCAAGTACGATTAGTGATGTGTGCAATTAAGTAGTGTCTTATTTAAATTATACTGGTGTAAGTAGTTAGTTCTATGTTATCTTGATTAAAGTAACATCATTTGAAGGAGGTTACCGATGCGATTACGAAACACATTCCTGCGGAGGGAGCTGGTAAGAACGTTGGGTTGCTCAGTCAATGGCCAGGGTCAACGACGGCGTGGTGTATTCCACAAATATGGCCGACTGTGAGGGCGGGCACAAGCCGGCGTGAGTAAAGTCAACGTTGAGTTTTATAAGGGCACCACGGGGTGACCAGCCCCTCCCCACCCAGCCCCACCCCTCCCACTCCCACCCAGCCCCTGCCCACCCTCCCCACCCAGCCCCTGCCCACCCTCCCCACCCAGCCCCTCCCCTCTCCACCCAGCCCCACCCCTCCCATTTTTGGATGCACGACGGATGGACGGACACAATAATCCCCTGTGGGCTGGTGGAACCAGGTGATTCCTACCAGTATAATTTGTTCCGAAGCCGCACTCAGCCTATAGCTGCACGCTCGGTTGAAAGAATAATAAATTGCCTATGTAGCACTGCATCGATTGTTGGGGTAAGTGCTTTTAGTGAGCACCTATTAAGGCTGATACAGCTCATAAGGAGGTGGTATGGCCTGAAACATATCCGACCACTGTTGTCTCCCCTCTGGTGAACTAACACACTGCACCAGGTCCTCAATTAAGGCTGAGTCGACGTAGGGAGAAGTTCTGAAACCACTTTCCACTGATTTTAGTTGTGGCTGGGAATTGGACTAAAATGAACGAGTTTGTAGCGCAGTGAGATTACCATTATGCGACCACTAGCCAAGCTATTACACATAGGAACTCACACATGAATACATTTTGCATAGTATTTGCAGGTGCGGAATAGTGTGCCATGAGCTGCTGTTACACTCACTCACATGTGCACACACACAAACAAGCATGCAACACACTTGCCTCGGCGACCAGAACATCACAGTCCAGCCCCCGGTTAAAGCCCTCCGTGTTCCCCTTCATACCAACCTGCGCACAGTGACAGACATGCAATCAACATCAATGTCCCTTACATAACCAGGCGAGCGCTCACACATGGAGAGTGCTTTTCGGGTCATTTACACACTACTCCGTGCTGCAGCATGCGGTAGCGTGGTGCGCGAGACACGTTTTCACCAGAAGAGTCTAAACTGCAAATGCAGACAGATGCAGCCGGTAACACGTTGCCCTCTGCCCATACTTTATGGGGAACTGAGAACACTGAACTTGATGCTGTGCCCTAGCTTGGTTTCGTGTGCATAGGCTAGAAGAATACCAAATTGTGCCCATAATACATGTACGTGTTTGCATGCATGTGAGACAGCGTGCATTTCCCATTGTTTGTGCGTGGAGGTATGTGGTTGTACGGGCGGGTGTGCATAAGCAAGTGTGCACATGTGTGCGTGTGTTTGCACGTGTGTTCATGTGGAAGAGAGTGTAACCACGTCGTTATGCATGCGTACATGCATGTGCATGCGTTTGTACATATGTACAAGTTGCACGGGTGGCGCAGATGCCAGTCAACACAGTCAGTTAACCCAACACACCTAGGTTTGTTGCACGGTCTCCTGCCACTTAGCCATTGAAACTTCAATTGACCCTAAGTGCAATTATCCTGGCACAAGCGATACGGTGGCAATTTGCCACCAAGTAATGTACAACAACAACAGCTGTTGTTGTTTTACGTATGCGTAAATGTATGCCGGTTGGATGCTGGTACCAGGCAATGCTCCTTGCCGTGGTTGAGCCAGTGGCCCGTCCGCCCTGTACGGATGATCCGCTGCAGTTGATTTGTCTTAACCCAGATGAGCTCATCCACTCGCTCATAGCTGCATACATACACATACACACACGACAATAATTATCATCAGACAGTAAACATTTTGCAACTACAGTCCCCGCAGATGTAGAGAAAGAAATCGACTCTCTGGAATTTGTCTTTACATGTTTATCCAACAATTGACCACATTTGTCAATAACACTGCCATAAAAAAAGTATATAATAGGTGACATTTTGAGCAATGGCCCTTTTTCATAGGATATAAATGAAGGGCCATTGGGTTGTGCTGACCTGTGAACACAGCTTTCCAATTCCTGCTTATTTCCTGTTGCGATTATGAAATATGAACGCACATTGCGTCTTTAGTTCTAGGGTATAGGTGTAAGGTTAGGCATTAGGATTTAGAAACAGGAGTTAAGGTTATGGTTTTGAGATGAGGGTTATAAGTTTAGGGCCCAGGACAGTATCACCCGCATTTGTGTGACAGTAGTCTAAGCCGCAAGTGTTTTGTGCTGTGGTTACTGCTTCTTAGCCACAAGCTGTGTAGGCATGAGTGGTCTCATGAAGCTACGATATGATGCGGCCTGAGGTTTTGTGGTTGTGATGTGGGCTCCTTGGAAGACCTTGGGAACGACTTACCCCCAGAGCTTCAGGCACTCCCTGCCCAACTCCATGGCTCTGCGGCACAACCACACACGCACGGGCACGCAGAAATGCAAATAGGCACGGAAATGCGCCCGCGCGTACACACACAGCCATACGCACGGCATACTGTACATGTGCAGCCCTTTTGTCAATCGACTGCTGGATGAGGCACCCTCCCACGTTGTGCAGGTCGTAGTTTATTTGAACAAACTTCACCATGCTTAAGTATTGTTAAATAGGTGGCGAATATAGATGTGGAAGCATAGAAGTAAAGATTTTTTTTTAAATGGTAGAGTACAATAAAGTATTGTGCTGCACTGCCCTCTACTGCCCATAACGTAGCCCTGCTTGCCTATTACAATCATTGTGGTTGCTCATCCAACTATCCAGGCTCAAACCTGCTTATCTTCAAAGATATATTATTTATACTATGAATTAGAACGGATTTGAATACGTATATACCCAAAAAAATTATTAATGTAGTTATGGAGAATATAAATAACAAAATAAGCGGGCAATGTCTCCAACATATATCCGTCTATAAAACATTTTTTAAAATGACAAACAATTTTTTGTTACAAAATGCACTTGCTACACAGACATTGATTCAAGACAGGCAAACTTTGAACCAGTTTCGACAAAGTGTCTCATCAGCAAAGTCGGAGTCAACAATCCAGTCAGCAAGCAAGCATGACTGCTGATGACACGTTCTATGTCAAAACTGGTCAAGAGTTTGTCTCGAATCAATGCTGCTTAACTGTGCACTCCCAGAAGGCCATGCGGCTGATAGGTTGGGTAAAAAAGAAGTATCACGAGTGTACAATCTCCTTTAATTGATTAATCGCTTGCATCTTTTCTTGGCATGGTGTTGTGCTGTATCCATCACCATCTATCGCTGCCGTGCCAAACACAGCGATGGACAGTGATGGCCACACTCGTTGTGCGCCCATTACCTGCCCGTCACCCACAGGAAGATGTAGCCATCGTCCTGCAGCACGGGGATGTTGAGCCGGCGCATCTCGTCGTCCGTGAGTGTGCCGTACGGCAGCTCCATATGGATGTCCCAAGGGGGGTCTGCCATCACTACCGAGAACTTACCCAGAATGCTCATGTCCAGGAAGCGTATGTCGCAGTTTATCCACTGCGCAAACACATGTGCACGCACACCGAAGACATTAAGTGTCCGATATAGCCTTGTAGACTATAGTGGCAAGGGCAGAGCAAGTGCACATTGAAACCCATACATGTACACTCAAGCATGCAAATACAAGCTCCTCCATTAAGCTTACATAGACTGTTGTGGTAAGTGCTGGTAGTTAGCAAGAAAACAGTAAAATGATACATGTTCTTTCTAGACTTGAAGCTTTCGTGACTGCAAGAAATCATATTCTTAGGTGTTTTCGGTAAAGTCACGTAGGTAAAACATCAAAATTAATAAAAATAATAAAATAAAATAAAGATCACGACGTTCCGAAACGTCGTGATCTTTATTTTATTTTATTATTTTTATTAATTTTGATGTTTTACCTACGTGACTTTACCGAAAACACCTAAGAATATGATACATGTTCTCTCATGCACATGAAGATCCCCCAAACAGCCTCAATAGACTGTGGGCACAAGTGTTGTTAGCAAACAAACAGGAAAACGCGACATGTACTATCGTGCAGTGATGTTAGCATGGAACGTCCATGCAATGCTCACCTGCGAGGGAAACAGTTTCCCCGCGGTGGTGTCATCGCGCGGCCTGTTCACCGCCACCGCCGCCGCCGCCTCCTCCATGCGGCCCCTCCGGCCTGGCCCCCCCATGCCACCACCGGCGGCCAAGCCACCGCCATCGATCTCGTAGTGCACGTACTTGCAGGTGTCCATGTGGAAGCACGTGTTAAGGAAGGAGCAGTCGCCCAGCGACTCGTCCGTGTGCTTGTGGATGATGCGGCGGAAGTGCAGCTTGGGGCACGGGCGTGAGGAGCCGCACGCACCCATGCACTCCTGCTTGGTGCCATGCTCACAGAATTCCCGAACCTGCAGCACCGTGGTGGCATGTACGAACAGAGACAAAGATCACCCATGTAGCCTCTACCAGACGGTTGGGGCAAGTGTTATTCGCAGGCACCAATGACGGACAGCAGGGTGCGCAGGGGGTGGCATGGCCAGCACCATGTCCAGTTGTCTGTCTCTCCAGTGCTAATGGTGTTTAAACACTGCTCCAGCTCCTCATTTAAGGGCGAGTCAATTGATTTAGATATAACTGGCCACTGAAGGGGACTGTTGCCTGGAATAAAACTCAGGTTGTCGGGTTCGTAGAGAGGTACTCGAACCACTACAGTTTGGGAAGAGCTTAAAACCCCAACCTGCTGATCAATGAGGTTGACAACTGGCACAGTTGGAGGAATATCATGCCCAGAGCTGTCAACATGATGCCCTAACAACGACATATTTAAGACAGGCCATGAAGATGAATGGAAAATGGATAAAGCCTGAAGGCATAGGGCCATGAGCATGTGGCTCAGGGAAGAGTACGGGAGTGTGCGTGTGTGCCTGTGTGCGTGTGCCTGTGCGCGTGTGCCTGTGCGCGTGTGCCTGTGCGCGTGTGCCTGTGCGCGTGTGCCTGTGCGCGTGTGCCTGTGCGCGTGTGCCTGTGCGCGTGTGCTTGTGCGCGTGTGCCTGTGCGCGTGTGCCTGTGCGCGTGTGCCTGTGCGCGTGTGCCTGTGCGCGTGTGCCTGTGCGCGTGTGCCTGTGCGCGTGTGCCTGTGCGCGTGTGCCTGTGCGCGTGTGCCTGTGCGCGTGTGCCTGTGCGCGTGTGCCTGTGCGTGTGTGCCTGTGCGTGTGTGCCTGTGCGTGTGTGCCTGTGCGCGTGTGCCTGTGCGCGTGTGCCTGTGCGCGTGTGCCTGTGCGCGTGTGCCTGTGCGTGTGTGCCTGTGTGTGTGTGCCTGTGTGTGTGTGCCTGTGCGTGTGTGCCTGTGCGTGTGTGCCTGTGCGCGTACCTGTGCTCCCCCTCGTGAGCGGAACTTCTCGAGAATCGACTGTTCCTTGGCCGTGCTTGCCGTGAGCAGCTGCAGTATCTCGGCCGACACCTTCTTGCTCTCCTGCTCACGCGTCGACTGCTGCGACAGCAGGCTCATGATCTCCTGGTCCAACTGGAGAACCGGCAGTTGCAAACATCACCACAACGCACCCACTTCCTCATCTGATCATCATCAGCCACGGTCAACCAAACTGCTAGGTGACGACATCCCCAAGTCGTCGCCATCCTTCACAGTCCCACGATCCAACAACCCACCCAGCACCAGCACATGAGCCCAGCTCATCGCTCAATCTCCGCAGTGGATTTTCGCTTTGTTAATACAATCCACCACAAAAGCCAGATCGCTTCAGACTTCAAGATAAGGAGGATTGATCCTGGTGAGTGCTCGTATTGGCGGCCATAATGAACAATAGGTTGTTATAGGCTATGGGCAACATGGAGGGTGGTAGAGGGCAGTTCAGCTCCATCTAATGTTGTACTGTATGTCTATGCTCCCTACCTTCACCAACCAACACTTACCAACATGGTAAATGACAATCAAATAATCTCCATGGACTGAAAAAAAGGATTGCACATGCATTCGTTACTGTCTTGAGTCTACGTGCAGCGTGAGAACGCAGCCAACGATGACGCTGTCACCTCATTGCTTGTGGATGATGTGGAGGTGGATGAGAGCTGCGTTTTCTTATTCATCTTGTCGGGAGGTGCTCCCTCGCTGGCCTCAGCCTTCCGCTTGTTGGCGCTGGAACTGGGCACCAGTGGAATCGAGCTGCCCCCATCCTGCCCCAGGTCGCCCTTGCCGACCCCACCAGATCCACCTGGGTCCGCTGTCACACCTGGTACTGCACGGGAAGGACGTGACCCTTGGTTATTTGATACTTGTCACAATTCGGGGTGGTGATTCAATTCAACAATCGATTTTTTTTTCCCACACTGCCGAGATCCTGGGTTTTTGAATCCAGATTTTAGCCATTCATGATTTAAGCAGGTCTCTTAAATCTAATCAATTGATGGTCTCAGCTGAACAAATAACTGCACAAAAATGTCATCACGATAGATTTTTCCAAAATTACAGTTCTGAAAAAAGGAAAATCAGTTTTACTGCCAGTTTCGCGCTCTGACCGGCGAGTCATCAGAGAACCCAACGATAAACTCCGGTTACTCACCTGACCCAGAAGTGGTGGCTGCCCCCAGCATGGCGGACAGCTTGGAGTGCTCGGCGTCTGTGACGAGCACGCATGGCCCGCCGTCCGGCAAGCAGCCGGCGCTCACCGCGATCAGCTCCTGCGCTGCAAACTTGTGCAGCAAGCTCTCGACGGACGCCCGCGTTACGAGGCATTCGGACTGCGCGTGTACACGCACGACATGTGCGCAGACACACACACGCGCATGCAAGTCGAACACAGATTATTGTACATCACACAAAACGAGTACACGGTTCTGCACGAAAAACGGAAGCGAGAAATGTCACGTCGAGCATAATTAAGTCTTGGTGGGGGGGCCGGGGGGCGAGTGGTGTGCATGGTGTTTGATGTCCTCATCTTGGCTGAAAATACTTATGCCACCAAGGTTTGTAAAACCCATTGATCAAGTTGGCCGGTTTTATGTAGGGCACGTCCCTAATACACAAGTTTACGTCGAAAATGCATTTATATTGGATTATATTTACGAAGGTTCTTGTGACACCCTCCTATACAGATGGACAGAGCTAAGGCATTAATGCAATCCACCTCAGCTGGAAGGGGTTAAAAACACTTCTCGAGAGCTCTACACAGCCGTCTTAACATCCCCATCACATGCCACCGTACACTCAGTGGCCACTGTGCATCATCACCTGTGAGATGGCAGTCTGGATGGCAGCCGAGTCAACGGGCAGTGGCAGGGCGAGGTCGGAGAGGTACGCGAGAAGCCGGCTCTCGAGCCGCGGGTCCACCCTCACCTCCAGCACCGGGGCTGTCACCTCGACCACCCCCACTGCCCCCCGCCGGAGAGAGGGCTCGGGAAGGGAGCTCGAAGGCGAGTGGCCTGTGGGGCTCTCGCTGCGCGCCGCAGGCCCAACCACCCCGCCGGTCACCTCTGGGTCTGGTGGCCACCGCAGAGAAACAATAAGGCTTGGAAACTGCTTGCAATATAGGGTATCTTAAAAAGTTTATTCACCTAGAAATTTGATTTCTTTGATCCCATTAATTAATTGCCTGAAACATCTTTTAAAAAAAATGTTTTTCAGCATTGCTTACTACCCCACAACTGTCAGATTTCTCAATCACACCCCTAAACAAGACGTCACCCCAATAGTCTGATGCCTTCATTGGCTATCAACCCCAGATCAATTTCAAGACCGCTCGCACAATCTGCAAAATCCTCTATGGACCTGCCCCCTGCCAACCTCTCTCCTGCCTCTGCAAGGGCGTCTTGCAGTGACAGAAGTGAATGTAATGTGTATAAACATGTGGCTGCCAAAGATAATTGAAAGTCCTTTACAGCTCTCAGTCAGGGAAATATTCCCTATTTATGCTATCTCATTCAGTTTGGGGACCAGAGTAGTCAGATTACGGGAAGAGAGTGGTCCAATATAATCCGTTGTGCGGAATCACCAAGGCCAAGCTGAGTTGGGTCCTTCCATCTCCTCTGGAGTCTCTCCCGCAGGCTGCTCAGCTGCTTCTTATGAGCCTGGATGCTGCTCCACGTGTCCGACATGATGCTGCTGACACACACAGGCAGGGATTAAACTCATAAAATATTTCAGACTCTGTCTTCTCGACAGACCTGTTCTTCACCTGAGGACGGCTGCTTGCGTTGTGGCCAAAACGTCGTGAGAATTATTTTATTATGTTTTATTATTATTTTATTATTTCCATTCTACGTGACTTTACCGAAAGAACCAAGAAGATGAATCCCTGCAGTCACGAAAGCTTTAAATCGAAATTTCATAAAATATTTTACAGAGATGCCTAGCCATTAATCCATCGGAGCCCACCTCCTCTCCAATTAATAGCACAGCAATTATATACCTGAACACTGTCACCGTTCACACCACAACAATTGCCAACATCACCACAGGCATCCCAACAATCACCAGCATCACTATCAATATCACCGTTACCACCATTGTGATCATCACATCACCACCATTATATCAACACCATGATAACCACCACCATGACCACATCATCACCATAATACCATCATCCCCATAGTCACCACCATTACAACCATCATCATCACAGCCGCCAACATCAGCACCACTATGAGCAAAACAAAAATCACCACCAGCACTGTTATTTTTACCAGCATCATTACCACCACCGTCATTGCCAATGCTAATTTTCACCAATATCCTCACCGTCAAGTTCCATCACCACAAAAAAAAACTATAATCACCACATCCGTAGTGGTTGGCACTCAGGCTCAGGCGAAAAAAATTGCGGATCGGGTGAGGCGGTCCCAGGCTAAGCATTCAGTATTTTACTGATTTAAAAAGACTCGGCACCATACTCGACCAGTATATGTGGTTTGATCCTGCAATTTTCATATCAGGGCTCTACGACACATCCGACCACTATTGAGTCGTGACATAGCCAACACAGTGACGTCTAGCATAGTATCGACAAGGTTCGATTAATGCAAATCATTACTTTACAGGAGGTCTGGCAAAAACATTACCAGGGTGCAGAGTGTACAAAATGCTTTGGAACGTGTTGTGACGGGTACTGCAAGATCTGACCATGTCGGTCCGGTGCTTGCCGAGCTGGTTGCCGAATACATTATAAGGTCGCAATCATACACAAAATACTTGCCACAAATGAACCACAATACCTTGCTGAGCTCGTCAAAGAGCATAAACCATCACGCTAACTCCGGTCATCCTCGCAGCGGCTTTTGGCTAGCCATCGAGCAAACACTGTCACTATCGCGCGCTTTCATATGCGCTTCTGCGGCCGTCTTTCCGGAACGTTCTTCGTTCCAATATTAGAAATCCACTTGAGCTATGCACTTTGAAATCTAGATTGCAAACGAATTTCTTTATACATTTTTTTTTTATTATTTGGGTCTTTCGGTAAATTCACGTAGGTAGGTTCAAGTAAAATAACAAAAAACGACGTTTCGATCGCAACACAAGCGTTCGTCATCAGGAAGAGGGGGTTAGCTTCGAAAAGCAAACCGTTTATAAAGGTTTAAAATGGGCGTAGCCAATGTTAATGTCAGCGGTGGGCAGCGATCGCGACGGTGGTGGGGTTTACACCAATCAAAGGGCTGCCAATGAGTTTATTGTCATTCCCCCGCACCTCCGATTCGTGCGGTTGGCTCCGTACGGTGTGTGAAAGTTCAACGTAGATTACATACCCACCACCGTCGCCACCGTCATTATGATCAACAATTGCTATCACCATCATTACCTTCACTACTGCAACCACCGTTATAATCAACACATCTCCGCCACCATCATAACCAACAATTGCTATTAGCGCCACTACGTTTGCCATAACTTCCACAACCACATTCCCACCGCTATCACCATCATCACGATCATCAATTGCCATGACCATCGCCACTATTATTATCATCACCACCACCGCCGCTGTTAAGACCACGAATCGCCACCACCACAACCACATTCCCACGGCTACCTCCATCATCATGACCATAAATTGCCATCACCATCGCTATCACCATCACCACCACCACCGCTGTTTAGACCACCTATTGCCACCACAATCACATTCCCACCGCTACCACCATCACTATGACCATCAATTGTCATCACCATCGCCGTCGCCGATTTAAGACCACCAATTGCCACCGCTACCACCAACGTCTCCACCACCACCGTCTCCACCACCACCACCACCGCAGTTTAGACCAACAATTGCCACCACAATCACATTCCCACCGCTACCACCATCACTATGACCACCACCGCCACCACCACCGCCGTCTCCACCACCACCACCACCGTCACCACTACCTCCACCACCACCGTCACCACCACCACCACCGTCACCACCACCACCACCGTCACCACCACCGTCTCCACCACCACCGTCACCACCACCGTCTCCACCACCACCACCACCGTCTCCACCACCACCGCCACCGTCTCCACCACCACCGTCACCGTCTCCACCACCACCGTCTCCACCACCACAACCACCGTCTCCACCACCACCACCGTCTCCACCACCACCGTTTCCACCTCCACCACCACCGTCTCCACCACCACCGTCTCCACCACCACCGTCTCCACCACCACCACCACCGTCACCGTCTCCACCACCACCACCACCACCACCGTCTCCACCACCACAACCACTGTCTCCACCACCACCGTTTCCACTTCCACCACCACCGTCTCCACCACCACCGTCTCCACCACCACCTCCACCACCTCCACCGTCGTCTCCACCACCACCTCCACCACCTCCACCGTCGTCTCCTACCAAGTCTCCGCGTCTCCCAGCGCGCGTGCCCGTCTCCGTGTTTACCACTCTCTACTGTACCGGCGCACGCGCACTGTACGTCGCGTTTCCGGCGGAAAAATTGCGCGCGCCGGAAATGAAAAGTGATTTTTTTCTGTTCCGATCTCGTTGCAGATTACAAACTACATTCTAACAACACTAAGATATGTTAGAATAACTGACAGTGCACATCGCAATTTGCAGTAGAACAAAAAAAACTCTAGCAAAAAAAAATGTTGACATATATCGATTCACGCCTTCGCAGTCTATTTCGATTCCCATTCATGATTCTGTAATCGATGGGTGTGCTATTGTTCCTTTACGTGGAATCGATAGCTGCTCAAAGTACATCAATATCATTGGTAACGATCACTCGATGGTTCGATAATTGATCTGGAATCGGAATCTACGTTCATATATATAAATTCGATTCCTCTTGCCTTGACATTCTGCGAAATAGTTAATGTACGATTCCGTGGAATCGATAGTCTGCCCCTATAGACTCGTATTAATCGCATGTAAATATATATTTTCCGTTTCTAATTACTCTATCGGTTAATCGAATACAATAAAATCTAAATGACTCAATGCAATTTTTTTCATGAGACCAGCGAAATCCATTGTTTGTGATGCACTTACAATGCTCCCTTCCATGAACCCGGAGTGGCCAGTATGGTCCAGTCTGGACAATTGACCTCCACCCAATCCAAAGGGCTGTACTCTACATGGTGGTCCAATATCTTACGACCTCCCCATTTCATTCTCTGAAACGTAATCTTTATTTTAAGGGAAGGTTTATTTAAAACAAAAACGAGTATGCAAAGGAAAAACGTTATACTGGTAGGAACCACCTGGTTCCACCAGCCCACAGGGGATTCTTGTGTCCGTCCATCCGTCGTGCATCCAAAAATGGGAGGGGTGGGGCTGGGTGGAGAGGGGAGGGTGGGGAGGGTGGAGAGGGGAGGGTGGGGAGGGGCTGGGTGGGAGGGGTGGGGCTGGGTGGGGAGGGGCTGGGTGGAGAGGGGAGGGTGGGGAGGGGCCGGGTGGGGAGGGGAGGGTGGGGAGGGGCTGGGTGGGAGGGGTGGGGCTGGGTAGGGAGGAGCTGGGTGGAGAGGGGAGGGTGGGGAGGGGCCGGGTGGGGAGGGGAGGGTGGGGAGGGGCTGGGTGGGAGGGGTGGGGCTGGGTGGGGAGGGGCTGGTCACCCCGTGGTGCCCTTATAAAACTCAACGTTTAACCTACTCACGCCGGCTTGTGCCCGCCCTCACAGTCGGCCATATTTGCGGAATACACCACGCCGCCGTTGACCCTGCAGGCCATTGACCGAGCAAGCCAACGTTCCTACCAGCTCCCTCTGCAGGAATGTGTTATGGGTCAATTCATTGGAGGTTCCAAGACCTCTGCATCACCCTGCGCATCTATATCGGCTTGAGAACACAGGGCCCTCAGTGGTGACCGATGTTGACTGACACCTACCTGGGTCCTGCAGAGTGATGACAAGTTTCAGGTTGATTTTGGTTACCCAGTTGAGAACTCGAACTGAGACCAGAATGAGTCTCCAGGGACCATGAGTTTGGCAGTAGCAGGCGATGATAGACGCCGTGTATAGTCACAATGCAGTAATTTCCAGAGAAATGTACGAATCTGGCAAATGTGGACCATGCTACCGGCAACACTGGGCCACTTGCTAGTGACCCAACGGGATCTTTACCTTCTAATTTGTAGAATTTAATACTTAATGCACCCGCAGTATTAATCAGGGCGGCCGCTGGAATCGAACCGTGGAGATCTACAACAAGCGGTGAACGCGCACCAGCTGGGCCACATCACGAGTGGTATCTCTGACCGCCAGTAGATTTAAATTAGAAGTCAGTGTCAACGTTTTATATTTTAAGTACCAAACATGCGAATTAGTTACCCAGGAAAGCCTCACAGAGTCTTAAGACTCGTTCACGATGGTCCTGCTACAATTGCTGTTGTTTGACCGATCCCATTAATTTAATAGGAGATTGGCTTCGTATGGGAGGGAAATGGACAACTCGGAGAAAACCCACGACACATATACGAGGGGGCGAACTCAAAAGCTCCGCGCAGATAAATACAACAATCCGTTTGATGTACACTGCCATGTATTGGTCACACACCCCCATGCCTACAACACCTGGCAAGCCCCTCGTGTTGGTTGGTCACTCATACAAATACATAAGGGGCCGTCCATAAATGACGTCACGCACCTGGGGGGGGGGGGTGTGACGAGGGGGAGGGGTTGAGAAATGTGACGTCACATCAAAATGCGCAACTTTAAATAAATATAGACAACACGTTCTACTTAACTAAATAGACTGTTTAATAAATGTTTCCTCCTACAACATCAGACTGCAGCGGCACATTAAATACGTACTACAATGACAATAGTTTAAAGCGATTTGAAAGCATGTTTTATTTTTTGTGGGAGGGGCAGAGCTTTGTGACGTCATATTTGAGGGGTAAAAAATCGTCCAAAATAGCGTGACGTCATTTATGGACGGGCACTGATCAAATTATTCACTTATTTGGCCGTAGAAACTAATCGGTATGTGTTACCAATATCTGCTCCAGCCCATGGACTAAGTGGAAATCCACTGCTGTACTTGATACGAGACACAGCCACAAGCAGATTGTGTACACGTACAGATATTTTATTAACATGTTTTATATTATGAAAGTAATTGTATGAGTTGACGTATGACCAAAACCATTCGCCAGATCCTTTCAGATCTCGGATGCCTAAGCACGGTTGAGCCTGGATAGTGCATGGATTGGCGACCACCATGCATAACAGGTGCTATAGACTTGCCGGGCTACGTGGTGGGCTGTACAACAAAATCAAAAGTGTTCTACCAATAGTGCACTTCGATTACGCCACGCAAAAAAAATCACGGGCCGAAATACATTTGGACACCGAAGCCGTCATTCTCCAATGTCGTTCCACCAGGGAGCGCTAGCCATCTCAGTTCGCCCGGGACGGTTCTCAGCTGGGAACTTTTAAATGGGGAGGATCGGGACGAGACCCCGAAGAGGACCGCTCGGCTGGGTCGCTCTCCTGCCAGCGAGGGGTTCTGAACGCCATGAACACTCAGCGTGAACAGCGACACGAGGAGGTCTCATCAGGTGAGGGCCGATTGACACCGACACGTAATCTTCACCACCAACGTTATCGACGTGTTTGTTATGATCAATCATGCGTAGTCACGGTTTTTACTGTCAACATCAACAGCCGTCAACGCCATGTGTTTTGCCACGGTTATCGACGGCAGAGTTATTGTTAATACGGTACAGTTTGGATTAATCGGGTCTCGATATAACCGCATATCAGTCGTGGGGACGTGCATCATCATCATCGTGATGTTAAGCATCGTAATGGTTATCGGCATGAAAAACACAACTCTCAACTTAACGGAACGGCTCGGCGAGAGAAAACGAAACGTGCGGCTGGTCTCACAGCGGTTTTTTTCGGCTGACCGCCGACCACAATATATATATTGCACAGACCCAAGTATGCATTTGTTTTGGCGATGTCTCCGTCAACAATCACCAATAGACCCCAGCAAGGCTATGGTGATGTTTCGCGGCCGTCTCGTCAACATAAGACTCTTGACTCAACGAGTGTTGTTTATCTCGCGGCTCAAGCCTTGGAGAAGTTGTTACACCATGTCTGACAGGTGTTGCTCTTGTTGAGTAAGTCTGGCAGGTAAAACATCATTGCCACGAGATATCCGCACGCCTCCTGTGTTTCCTCCAAGGACGACTAATCCTTACATGAGTACATAACGCAGGATGATTGAATTGCCTACTTGGGAAGCAAATGCGGTCGGGCATAGTGCTTGCCTCGATAACAGTATTACTAGTTCCAACACAATCCATGTATTTCAAGTCAAGTTTATTTTGTTTAACCAGGTGAGAACTCAAAGAGACCAGAATATAGTCTCATTTGCAAGAGTGACCTGCTTCATCAAAATGACAAAAGCAAAGCTAATAAAGTACAACAATAAACGAAGAGAAAGCTGCACAAAAACAAATGTGCTGCGTGATAAATCGTAAAATACTGCACAAACATAAATCAATATTACTGGTAGGAACCTCCTGGTTACACCAACCCACAGGGGATTATTGTGTCCGTCGTGCAGGGAGGGGCTGGGTGGGGAGGGGAGGGTGGGGAGGGGCTGGGTGGGGAGGGTGGGGCTGGGTGGGGAGGGGAGGGTGGGGAGGGGCTGGGTGGGGAGGGAGGGGCTGGATGGGGAGGGGAGGGTGGGGAGGGGCTGGGTCGGGAGGGTGGGGCTGGGTGGGGAGGGTGGGGAGGGGCTGGGTGGGAAGGGGCTGGTCACCCCGTGGTGCCCTTATTAAACTCAACGTTTAACCTACTCACGCCGGCTTGTGCCCGCCGTCACAGTCGGGCATATTTGCGGAATACACCACGCCGCCGTTGACCCTGGCCATTGACCGAGCAACCCAACGTTCCTACCAGCTTCCTCCGCAGGAATGTGTTAAAACATTCCCTGCAATGTAAGTCGACTCGGGCAGATTATTTTGAGACTGATCATAGTAAATTACAATCAAGTACCAGAAACATGAAACAGATATAGGGTGACAATTGTACTAGCATTGTACCAATATCTGTATTACTCAATTGTAACTATACAAAGCAATAATCGCCCCACCTCCCACCCCCTACTGGCAGACTCGTGTCCGCTTGCAGGCCAGGTGCCAACCCTCTCGATGCTCACATTGACAGCTGCCACTTAGGAGGACTTTCAAATGTTTGAGTTGAGATGTAATGTGAAGTGCTCGGAGCGCTAAATTAAACACATATACAGACGTCGCTTGCATAACACGCGACAATACGTTCCTGAAAACGCGCTATATGAATTCCATTTTTCCATATACTTGTTATAAGGCGTTAGCCCTGGGTTTAAAAAAATACTTAATAATATCAACATTACAAAACATACTTAATGTGGGGTTAATAATAAATAATCATTAAAATGAAAAGATTACATACTTACAAATACTGCTAAATAAGGATTAGATGCAGGGCTTCTTGAGCAGCACGTGGGATGCAAAGGAAGTCGATCTAAGATGGCTGCTCTGGGTGCCGCCGTGATGCGGTCACCCCATCAGAATTGTATTTTTCACTTTGAAATTTTATCATTGATACATTTAAAAATATAGACATTTTTATTTTTTCTTGAGCGCGTAACTGAAATGCATCGCCTAAAAGTTGAGTCGCCGAACTGAGAATTTGCGCTATGGGGGGGGGGGGGGGGGCGTGACACGAGGGACATCTTTATCATTGATTCTTGGGTCAGATTGCACGAGTAAAATGGCAATGTGTGTAGTAAACCCTCCTCCACCCGACGCGGTTACATCCAGCAACATCAACAACACCAGCGAAACGTCTTACCAAATTGTTAAATGTTATCGATCGCTCTCTCCAACATCATCGGTATGCTGAAGCAATAACTAGCGCGTTGTTTACGCGACATTATTTATGTGGCCGTGTTGGGTGGAGGAGGGTGTATGACACGTTGGCGTTCCACTCACGCGATCTGACACCAAAAACAAACCATTGGTCGTGAAAGCCTACGTGCTAAATCAATGATGTCAATACAGGGACTCCTCTACTTACGAACGAGTTAGATTTTTTGCATAAGTCCAACTTTACCGGTACTCCTGTTGATTCCAAACATGTTGTACGGCATGTACGCTCAACATGGGGAATGGCTTTAAAAGTTGTATAACCACCTGAAGATGCCTACTGGATATTCATGTTCTCCAGATGTAGATGCCACCACCGCCATCTATCGCGCGGCGGTTGAACTTACGACTCTCAGTCCGAACAGGCAACTGGACATACAGACAGGTTTTGTTTGTATCTCTGAAAGTTCGTAAGTCTAATGTTCGTAAGTAGAAGAGTCCCTATATTTGTCCCTTCTCTCCCCACGTGTTATTAGAGAGCGCACGCATCCTGGAACGGGGCTGCGACCACGTGACACGTGCGGTGCAGGAGGCGTGGAGGCGCGCACGATTGGAGACCCCGGCGCCTTCGCCCTGCGCAAACCTCCTCCTCGGGGTCGCGAGCGCGCGCCACGTCACCAACCCCCGCGGTCTGAGCGGGGGCCACACGGTAGGTGCGACCCCCCACCTCACCCCACCTCACCCCAACTACCACACCCTCCACCTCCGAAGCCCCAAACCCTAGACCACTTGGCACTATCTCTCCCGCACGTGAAAATATGTACCTACCTTACGGAGTCGGGTTACGAAAAGTCAGAAGCCACTGGTCAGGAGAAGCTTTATGGGTCAGAATTGGATCAATACATTGGCACGTGTGAAAAGTAATACTGTCATATTATTGTAGACAATGCTGTCGGGTCGTGACGGGTTAATGACAATCATTTTGGTATAAAATTTCCACGTGGCCTAACCCAAAAACAAATATGGATCAACCAACACTCTTGACATTATCCGCAACATTATTAGTGGCAGACGCGTAATCACTATCACCATCAGCAGCATTATCATCAGTATCATCAGGGTCAAGCTCAAATCTTCACTTGTTGATTGACTCAAGTCACTCTTCGAAGAGAATGGAGTCTGAATGGGCTCCCACCTTTAAGAGTCAAGCATTATCTTCCTCCTCTCAAACTGCCATCTCAACCCTCTTCGACAACGACCAGTCTCAAAACAATGTGCCCGAGCCGATTTACGCTACAGGGAATATATTAGTTAACAATGATTCATGTTTGTGCAACATTGTACGATATCATGTGATACAGTAATATTTGGGCCAATTTCTACTTGCTTCATGGCTGCGCTTTGTTTTACCAACGGCATTTTGGTGACCCAATTCTGGCCTCTTGAGTTCTCAACTGATTTAATAAACGTGAATCCCTCTCCACCCCCACCCTGCCCAGGTGTACGAAATCCGCGTCCTCGTCGCGGGCCAGCTGGACTCGTGCCCGTGCACGATCGAGCGACGCTTCTGCCAATTCCAGCTCCTGCACCGCGCACTCCTCTCCGAGCTGGGCACGTCGGCCCTGCGGGGCACCGCCCTCCCGCGCTCTCTGCCGGCGGCGCTCTCGCTCTTGCCGCTGCCTCCGCCGGCTCCGCGCTGCCTCCAGCTCTACCTGCGTGCCCTCTGCGCGCTGCCGACCGTGCGCGCCTCGCGCCGCTTCCAGGAGTTCCTGTGGCTCGAGGAGACGGCCAGGGGTCACGCGTGCCTGCGTGGGGGCGCCTACGCCGAGGCGGCGTCGCTCCTGCGATCCGCCTCGCTCCTCCAAGAGAGGGCGGCGTGGGTCGCCGCGGACAGCGCGCACTCCGCGCCCACGCTCTCCGCCCTTGCTGTGTGCGCCAGGGACATGGGGCGCCCGCGCGACGCGCTCGGATACTGCGAGCGAGCGATCCAAGCGCTGAGCGACGGCGGGGTCGATGGGGTTAGGACGGTCGTTGGCGGACGGGCAAGGCCCCTCCGCCAAAGATACCCCGAGCTGTGGGCCCCGCTACTCCGCGCGCGAGCCCGGCTGCGCTGGGAGCTCGGAGAGACGGACGCCATGGACGAGAAGGAGGATAAGAATGTGGGAGTTGATGGGAGTGGTGACCCTCGCTCGCTTAAGGAGGTCGTCATTGCCCAGTACCTGCGGTGATGGAGACGAGGCGGTGGGGTGGGGATGGGTTAAGCAGCAGAGGTGAGGATGGGGATAGAGGAAATGATCGGAATGAATGGGTATGGTGTTAGGAGTTTGGTTGGCTGTTGTGATTTGGGGTAAGTGGTATGGCTGGCATTTGGATGGCTGATGTGGATAGGATTAGGGATAGAGTTTCGTTGGGTAGTATTTTTATGGTAAGGGTTAGGGTCTAGTTGGATATTTATTCGAGGTATTTAAGGGGGGGGGGAGGGGCATCTTCTTGAGCTCAGGTTTATGCGTTGCAGCCATTGCACATACCAAGCACAGACCTACACAGCAAATACTGTTAGGGAATAACCTATTAAGGCTCGCATGACGCACGTGGAAGCGGCGTGGCTATAACCACGCCTGTCCGCCTTTGTCTCCTTAATGTCGAATTCTTATTTAAGGCCGAGCATCGATTTCTGTTCGTCTCGTTTTACCACACCCTTTGTATTGTCACTCGATATATCCGTCTCGTTTGTGCAGTTTCTCTTGCTCATTAGCCTCAATGTACCGTGACATCATCGAATAAGATCGACACAGCGTTAAACAAGATGCTGCGGAAGCATTTCTGGCATCCTCAAGGCAACCATTACCTCTGGGTTGGTTGATATTGCAACCCGGGGCACGTGTGACAGTGGCCAGCCGTGCAGAACAGTCGCTCGAGACCACGAACCCAAGGCATCTGCTCGGCCAGGTCCAGAACGTGACCTGCATCTGCGGTGAAGAGCGGGCGATGCCTCCTCGCTCACATCTGCTCCGCTGTCGTCTGCTAGACGAGCCGTTCACAGCTGATGGCGATGATGATTTAAGCACCGTGACTGATCGTGCGTGGGCCTGTGCACGCATGGTCGTTATTGATTTAACTCGGTTGGTATGAAGGACACGGAATGAATGAAAATGCATACACAGAACCTTTCCTAACCAGTGAATAAGCTACCACATGCGCAAGCTTCTAAAGGATGAGGTTAATAATTTGTATTTAATGTATACGCTCTGTCCCCGCAGATACGCATAAAGGGCCCGAGTCTGGAATTACCCTCCCCGCCAATTCTTATCCATAGGCCAGATTTGTCGGATTGGTTTAAGGGTTAGGATTGAGGAGTTCAGGGTGTAGAGGTTGTGAGTTTAGGATTAGGGGTTTGGAGTGTGTTTGGGTTTAGTCGAGGATTTGGGGTGATAAGTTAGGGGTTTGGGAGTTAATGTTTAGTCAGGTTAATACGCAGACTTTCGCGACCAATAACCACTAGGGTTTTTTGGGGTTAGATCGCGTAAATATAAATGTGTCGTTAAACCCTCCACCACCCGACACAGCCAATTAAGGTTTGTCACGTAAATAAAACACACCAATTCATTGCGAGTTGAGCACACCAATGTGTTGGGGAGTAAACCCACAACAATATTATTTTGTGTTTGTGTTGAATGTTTAGATTACCACGTAAGGCTTTCGCGACCAATATCATCCATAAGAGATTTTTTGGTGTTTGTGGGTTAGGAGTTTGGATTTTGTTAGGGATTAGTGTAGGGTTTGGGGTGATGAGCTTGAGGTTCATGGCTTTGGGGCGTCGGATCATTCTTGGAAGTTGTTAGGGTTAGGGTTTAGAGCTTAGGGGGTTTGAGTATATGGTTTAGGGTTGGGGATGATGGTTAGGGATAGCATTACCCAAGCATGATTTTCTTGCCACGAATCTGGTGGGACACGTAGTAACCTCTCGGCATGTAGCAATTCACCGTTACCCGCTGAATCCGTTAGCAGTGCGCGAACCAACTTCCACGTGGTGGCTACGTTACGGACAGCTGCGATGACCGCGATGAGGCGTGGGGAGCCTCGCGAGACCTATTTTTGCCCTTGTTTTTATCTCACGCTTCCTCTTCTGTACCCGGTTTTATTGTCGCACGCTTCCTCTTCAAAATAAACGTTTCTCGATCTTACCCGAGGCATGGCGACTTCGCGTAACGACTCGGAAAGTCTCGAGGTGGCTCGTGTTTTGCAGCTGTACACTTCGGTTGTGTGAGAACTCCCCTGGTTGTCCCGACACGAGTTTAAAGTTGCGTTAATGAAACAGCGATTAGTGAGGTGCTTCATTACATATGAAGTGGGAAAGGTCCCATATTGTAGCCGCTCACCCCGAGCTATAAAATCCCTGATAGTGCATTGTCTTTGTGCTGTTCGTCTTTTCGCGTTCTCTAGTTTAACACTTTGAGACGAGGCTCTAAAGAAAGCTGTCACTGCTGTAGACCAATCAGTTTCAAGGACAATGCATATATTATCTGATGTTTTTTTTGTCATGTTCACCACAAATACATGTGGTTAATGCAGACAGGATTCCTTGCAAAAGGTTTCTGTTTGGTGTTTTAACATCTTAACACAACTGTTTTATTGCCAGAAAGGGTAAAAACATATTCTTATATTGTGATACTGCCAAGAAAGGTCCCATAAAATAAACCCGCTTCATCATTCTACTCTTCGATTTGTACTGAATGTATCATATAGGACCCACTATTGTGACCTCTACTTAAAATACAATCTCACATCACTTGGTACAAGAAGAAAGCTCCGTCGGTCCCTGTTCATCCATAAAATCATTATCAGCAAAGATTTGTGCTATGATTGTTTATTCATTAATCCCATCTTCAACCACAAGAAACCGAAGACGTCCATCCAATCGTCGTTTAACTATCCCAAGAATTGCAATCGGTGACGAAGCCTTTGCCGTTGCAGCACCAACGTTTCGGAACAAACTTGTTTCCTCCCTTAACATCGTCAAGCTTCCTTCAAAAATATCCTGAAGCCGAAGATTAGTGCTGGTCACAACCACATTTGCAAATGGAATTTGTAACTTTTATCCTTACCAGTGTATTCATAGTTACGTTTTAATGTGCACTTTTTTTTATCGTGGGGCACTGTGTGTTGTCTTGTTGTGGTCTGGGCCTGTTTTGTTACCTTGCCCGTGTTTGGAAATTGATGTACTTATGCAATTTAAACTTATATACGTTTTGTGATTTCCCTATCTTTCCTATATTTTGCACTTATATCGTGTTTTGTATTGTTTTTTTTGTTCTAAGTTTCTGACCCGCCCCGACTAAAAATCTACGAAAAAAAGAGCTTTACAGCTCATCGGATTTCGTCAGGATAAATACAGATACTGATTCTGTATGTCGCAACCAGTTGCGCAGCTGGCTGCTTACAGAAAAAAACACTACGGCAGCAACTAATAATTAGCGATCCAAATAATCCACGAATCCCTGTAATGTGCGGTTCATCTGCGCTTCGCGGTTGCTCCAGTAATCCGCGGAATACCGCGATGGACTGACAATTGTTCGCGGGCCGCTAAATCGCGATCCGTAGATTAGGGCCGAGCGAGCGTGGAGCTTCAGGGAAACGCAGAGGTAAGATTTGTTTTTTAATCAGTTTGCATTGTTTTGGTTTATGTCGCATAGACGTGCTATTTAGCAGAAATGTGTTTTTACTGGTAGGAACCTCCTGGTTACACCAGCCCACAGGGGATTATTGTGTCAATCCGTGCAGGGAGGGGCTGGGTGGGGAGGGAGGGGCTGGGTGCGGAGGGGAGGGTGGGGAGGGGCTGGGTGGGGAGGGCTGGGTGGGGAGGGTAGAGTGGGGAGAGGCTGAGTGGGGAGGGTGGGGAGGGGCTGGGTGGGGAGGGTGGGGCTGGGTGGGGGGTGGGAGGGGTGGGGTTGGGTGGGGAGGGGCTGGTCACTCCGTGGTGCCCTTATAAAACTCAACGTTGAACTACTCACGCCGGCTTGTGCCCGCCCTCACAGTCAGCCATATTTGCGGAATACACCACGCCGCCGTTGACCCTGGCCATTGACCGAACAACCCAACGTTCCTACCAGCTCCCTCCACAGGAATGTGTTTTATCTCATTTTGCATTGTGTTGGTTTATGTCGCATATACGTTGTGATATTTAGCAGAAATGTGTTTTTTTTAATATATTTTTGTTGGACTGTCCTTGCACAAACCCATATGGCAGATTTTCCCCATTTGGGTCACAGCAAAACGAGTAACCGCGGGCGCCCCCCAACCCCCACCACCTCACAACTGATGACTGCCTTGCCCTGTGCCTCTGCTGTTACAAGGACTCTGAATTTCTGAAAGCCCATTCGTGATCCTGCGGCGTGCAATCCACCCTGTGGTGGGAAAACGGGAACTTCGCACCGGAGAAAAAAGGGACACGGGGATGAATATGAACACGAGGACGGTTACTTTTGGGAAATGTTCACGATGAAACATAACAGTCTCGATCCGCCTTTCGGCCACTTAATGGAGCATTCAAGTGCAGATCTAACCGTCGATTCGTGACGTATGGTTAATCGGCTTACGATACGAGATTAGATTTGTACGTGCAAGTATCTATTATATTTAATTAGTGCCAGTTTAACCCGCGTTTTTCTTTGAGGTCACAGTCTGTAACAAATTCTGGGTCATTATTTTCGTGTTAATTATAGCGCCTCTCGTGGCTGCGTGAGTCACGTGATCCATACATAACATTAACGACGCTGACGTCGGTTTTCTGAGTATTTTAGTGGTGAAAACGGCCTTGGGGCCACTAATCTCAGATTACAGACGCACACAGTGGGGCCCCCTCGACAAGTGACAGTTGAATTTTGCCCGGCCCAAGACGCAGTTCAGTTACACAGCAGGTGCCGTACCTGGCACGGGCACCTCCACACACCGTTCCGTTTGAATAAGCTGCTGTATTTCGGTAGTCGAATAGCCTCGGACCACTATTCTCAAATCATAGATCTACTCTACGAGTACAAATGTCACGTGCCAAACTTGGCACATGTGCCTACGTGCATTTTTCAACTCCAATAAGTAGCTGGGGCATTTTAATGGCCAAATTATCTTGGGCCACTAATCTTGTGACACCCAAATCTGTTTTTGGAGTTGCCAAATTATCTTGCTTCGTACAGTACTTATAGAGGATGCAAACCCTCTCATTCCCCTCTGTGGAACTGTTCTCTGAGATTAGTGGTTCAAGGCCATTTGACTACTGAAATACCGCAACGAGGTATTAAAATGGAACGACGTGTGTAGGTGCCTGTGCCAAGTTTGGCACTCAGTTTTATAACTAAAAACTGCGTTGAGGGCCGGGCAGCTTCAACTGCCACACTCATACACTGGTCACCCCCCCCCCCCCCCCCCACCTCTGTGAATCTGTGACTTGAGATTCGTTGCCACAGGCCATTTCACAATTTTGCAATATCCAACTACTTGTTCCAAATGTGGCTGCGAATCATAAGCCGGTGGAAGATAAGAAGCCAACCCTGAGCATTGTTACTAATTTAATGTTAGCGAGCGTTTGGCTTTGAAGTTGGAGGAAACCAGAGGGTGCGGATAAAATCCACAACGCACACGAGGGGATAACGATCATAAATTCTGTTACACAGGCGACAGGGCCAAAACCTACTTGCTGTGCTGCTATCTCATAATACAAATTTAGTTGAATCAATTTGGCCTATTTCACCAATAAAATAACATCCAGTCCACCAGCTGATCAGCCTCCTGAGCCAATCTTTTCCAGCAGCATCTGTCGTAGCAGTTTGGACTGGTTTCACATTTCTGTCTCAGCAGCACATAGCCTTCTGAACAAATGCTGCCGAATTGTCTATTGTTATTGGTGAAAGTCCTCCATGAACACTGTGGGGACTGATCAGAGCAGCGCAGCGAGATGACACAAATTGTATCCATGTTGTCTACTGGTATTTCATTTATTAAGAAAAGGCTGAGTCTGAGGACTTTTTTTCAAGAATGGTGCTGCATTGATTGGGGTGTCTGGCGAGTTCCTTTGAAGGAGAAAAAGAGTTCAACATCGTGTAATGAATGGTCTCTGCACGATCTGCCGACCCTCAAAGTACCATCTCCGCTGTATTGCAGGTGTGCCCCATCATGGCCGTGGCACGCAAGTCCCTGAGCGAGGTCGTGGGTATGCGTGTGTTTATAAAAGTGTCTCTCGCCAGGCGTGCGTGTATAAAAAGTGTCTCTTTATTGCGAGAGAGTAGAGTCACATCACTGCAGAACCTCCCATAAGCCCGCTTTGGGTAAGGTTCACTGCTTTAAAAAAAAACATGCAACACAAAAACTGACGAGCGAAAGAAAAGGTAAAATCTCCTCCGGGGGGGTGGGAGGGGGTGCACATCTCGGGGGAAGGGCGCTAGTCAGTGAAGCTACGGCCCTGACTAGAGTCCAAACACTCTAGCCAACCACGCTGCAGTTTTGGTCATCAGCCCAACCACACTAAGAACCTGACCCTCGCCCTAACCCTTGTCATAACGACACAAGCCCAGCTTACCCTAACACTAACCCCAACGATAACCACACTAACTGACCAGCTCCTACCACTAGCCCCGAGCCAAAACCACTATATCCAACCAGCCCCCACCCCTAAACTTATCACACTAAGTCAACCAGACACTAGCCCTACCCTACCCTTAATCCTAACTATAATGGCCAATTACACACTACTCCTAACATTAACCACACTAACCGTATCCCTAATCTTAACCATACTAGGTAAGGCAGATCCTACCCCTAAACACTAACCACAACAGCCAACCTCCAACCCTAACTTGCCAACCAGCGGGTTCCTCGCACTATCCCTGATGCCAGTCCCTCCTCGGCACTGTTGCCCGTCCCAGTTTTCATCGATTATTCGCGTTTCCCTTTTGGTCGTCACAGCTGCTGAAACCGTGGCAGCTGCTGCTGCTGCAGTTGTTGCTCGAAGTGGCGTTTGGTGAGCTACTCAGCAGAGGAGACAGCTTTTCTCCTCTTGTACCGGTGCACCACAACGGTCCGATTCGCATGCCATTAGGCAAATGGTTTCCCCCCACGCCCGTCTGTTTTTACTTCGGCCGATTTTATTTTTCACGAAAACTGCGCCGATGCCTCCATCTCTAACCGGTCGAGCGAATCGCCGAGCCGATGCGTGATGATTCTTGGCCATTTTTCTGAAAATTTGAGTCCACGTCTGGTTGTATAAAATGGCTCAATTACTACTTCGAATGGAAAACGAAGGGGTAATTCGACAACAAGGTGGCCACTGAAACTGATCCTATGGATACACTTGCCTGACGTGTACACTGGCGCTTTACGCAATCGATTGTGTACACTCACCTGATATGAAATTAGCCATTGGCCCAATGTGTACTATTGAACACTGGTCTTATATGCAACCAGCCAGTGACCCAACGGTTATCTCTCCGTTCTCTTCCATCCGTCGTCGCATGGCAGGTGACGATGGGACTGGACGAATTTTTTTCCCCTCCTTCCTTTCTCTGGTCATAGCAATCGCTTCCTGCGGACTTTCGATTGCCTTCCGTGAGTCCTCCTCCATCACGCCATCAGTCCGCCTTTCGTGTGGACGACCTCTGCTTCTTTTGCTCCTTCCACGCGGCAGTGTGAGGGCACCAACGGTCATCCATTGGACTCCATTTTCCTTTGGCACCCAAATCAAATAATCTTTGAATCGTTTGGCTTCTGTTGGCGTCGCTTTAAAAAAGTCTCCGGCTGGCATGGATTATTCCTTACTTCTCAGCTTTCGTAATTTTCACACTCCCCCGGATCCTTCTCGACCACAGCAACTTACATTCCAAATGCGTCCATGATGTGACAAACATCTCAGACTGACAAAGAGCATGGCGAGAGGCGCCGGGAAGGGCGACCAAAGGAGAGGAAGTGACCGATCACAGAGGGCCTTAGCTGGTTGGTACTGCTACCAGCATCTCTCCTTCACCCTCTCTCGTAAGGGCCCAGTATTCGGTTTTGTCGAGTAGAAATAGGATGACACCATTACACACTCCGTCTTTATATTATCTATACTTGTTATGTAAGACTGGCTTATGTTGCAACCAATCACTGGCTCCGGATGTACATGGTCGGCTATTGTGGGTGGCATCAAAACAGCACTGGTTAGTCTAGGGGTGCCATCAACATTACACAAGTACCATGAAGTTCACACTAGTATCACCACCATCAACATGACACGAGTACGATCAACATCTCGCCAGTACCATCAACATCACACTAATACCATCAATATTACGCCAGTGTCATTAATCTCACACCAGCATCATCACCATCACACCAGTACCATAATAATCTCTCACACATCCCAAAGTGTCTCTCTGCTCAAACGACTCCGGAGTGCCACTCAACTCCACTTCCAGGCAGTAGCATTAATTGTATCATATCATGGCGGAGACCAGCTTTTCCATATAACTACCATCGATACTGTGGAGGTGTGATGATCTGAGTCAACCCCTGAGAAGACTATGTACTTTTGACCTTTCAGATTATCAGCCGAGTGCTCTGACCCCAGAGACACCTGGATCATAAGTCCTGTTAAAAGCCCTGAGCCAGAGGTGGAAATTGCACATTCCAATGACAGGAGGTGAGGCAGAGTATATATGTATAAAAAGCTACAGTGGCTGTTTCAAACGCAGTGCATAATTGCGCACTTTTGGCAGAGTCTCGGTTAAAAAACGCAGACGTAACAATAACAATTATCTCAACAGTAATAATGATAACGACGATAAGGACATACAGTAACAGTTTAAATAATGTGTAAACAGTGTCGCGTGCGTCACGTACGATTCACGGGCCCAGATGAACATCTACGAAACTTCCACATCCTAAGCACCACAACTCCTCTCTCTTCTGCCCACCAGCCCGCCCGCCCACCCACCGACCGGCCTGCCCGCCCGCCCACCCACCCGCCCGCCCACCCGCCCGCTCATCCGTCCGTCCGTCCCTTGCCGGACTCCACACATTGCAGTAACGCACGTATGCACGGGACGGGCAGAGTTCATCATGCAAGTGACAAAGGGCTCCTTCAAATTATCCGATTCTGGGATCCGGGCCAACCGAGGCACCTCCGTGGACATTGTCCGCTCAGGGTGCTCCATTGCCATTGAAGCCGACGAGGTTGCGGGGGGCCGCCGAGCCGGGCAGCGACCCCGGGGCTCGCGAAGTGTCCACGCTCACGTAGAACGTCTCCAGGCGACCTTTGCCCTTCACGTTGATGCTGCCGCGGCTTTCGCAGGAGTAGCCGAGCGACACGAGCACCTGGGCCGTCTCGCCCGTCACCTGGACGAAGAAGAGGGGCAAGAAAGAGCGCACGGGATGGGAGCAGGGATGGGAGCAGGGATGAAGTTCTGCTTGGGTTGGTGACCCCACAAAAATAATATTTTCGCACCAGACACACTATGTCCAGTATTCCTCTCTCGCTGTTGGCCATGTCACATAGACACCGGACTGTGCCACGCCATCCCTGGTACCTGGATGCGGTCCACGGTGCCCGTGCTCTCCATGCGGCTTGCCACGTTCACCGTGTTCCCCCAGATGTCGTACTGCGGCTTCTCAGCACCGATCACCCCCGCGATCACCGGCCCGTGGTTCAATCCTGGGTCGTGGGGGGGGGGGGGTTTTGAGTATAGGTCAGAGGTTAGATTGAGCCAGACAGTGGTGGGTGGTGTCGATTTAAAGACTGATTGACCAGTGTAACCACGAGGGGTGCTACCATTCATCGAGGTGAATTACATTTCACCTGGTTTATGGACTATATAAGGGGCTTCTTATGACAATATAAAAAATCTGAGCTTTCTCTACGAAAAAACTTTACTCATGATGTAAGTAAAGTTTGCAGGATTCTGGCTGGGAGTAATCACAGCAGTGGAGGTGGCCAACAGGCGGCCGTGGGCTCATGTGCTTCCAACTGAGCAGCTTGCGGTGCAGTTTGGCAAATCTGGCACACCATGGCCGACTGTTTTTCGAATAACTTAACGGGATCTTTGACACCCGCTGGGTGTAGCAGTTCATGGTCACTGCCGTAACAATGGGCTCAGCCTGGTTACCAAAGACTGCACACGCAACCATCACATTACATTAGGATTTCCACTAAATTTGGTTAAGTTCCAGCTCTGAAAAGGTTTAATATTCGTGCGACTGCCATGAAATGAGCATGTGGTGCATTGGGCAACGTGGGCACCGGGCTGCCTCTCAGTGCCACCACGTACCGACACGCAGCTTGAAGCTGTTGAACGAGTGGCGGTTGTTCTGCTCCAGCGCGCTCATCATGGCCAGCACAAACTCCAGCGCGAGCCCCACGTGCGCATTGCCTCGCTCCTCCTCTTCCCGCACATTCATCTGGGGGCGGGGGGAAGGGAGGGAGGGGAGAAAATGTGATCACGGCACGTGGCATCCCTTGTAGATGTATGTACGTTCAACTTATTTTACTCTGCATGTAGCCAACCGTGCTAATTGGAGGGGTGAGGTGGGTGGCAAGAAGGGAAGATACAAACGCCACAAGTGAAGAGGGGTTCGGGTGAAATGCCAGAGGTGGGGCGAAGACAGGGTGATAGTTGTGGCTACAGCCGGTGTCTAATTAGCTCTCTACCCAAGGATAGGGGTAGGGCTATCATCTGGTTTGATTTCGGTCACAGACAGGGGCTTGGCTTGGTGTTAGCGTCTGGTTGAGTTCAGTGGTTAGGGTTTTGGCTCAGGTTATGGCCAGGCTTGTGATTTGCCAGAATGGCGAGGGTTAGGGCAGCTGTTACTAACGTCTTGCGAGGGTTAGTCCATAACAGATCGGCAGTGGCCCTGCTTATTTATGCGCTATGAAGAAGGGCAATTGGCAAAAACATGGCCTATAATAAATCTTTTTCCATTCAAGGCCACAGCATTATTGACAAATGTGTTGAGATTGTGTTGTTGTTGTTGTTAATTGTGCTCGTGCACCACAGCCAATGTACTAGCAGCAGCGGTGGCAGCATCACCAAATAATGTGTTCAATTTAGTTAGGGTTAGGGCTATGTGTAGACCCTCACAGGGCACTGATTGGGCTCGCAAGTCACAGCGGTAGGGGTGTATTGTATGCTGAACTTCTTTCGCACCGTACGTAGCCAACCGCGCTAATTGTAGGTGCGGGGGAAGGACAAACTAAACACAAAAAGCAGTTTTAAAGAAGGGAGTTTTCAATCTAGATGATAGCTCTAATGGCTTCCTAACATCGGAAGGAAGAGTGTTCCAGACGGCCGCAGAAGCGCATCTGAAAGCGCGCGATGCAGTGACCATCTTTGTTTGATGGCCAGCCAAAAGCTGTTGCTGCTGCGAGGATGACCGGAGTTGTCACGATGGTTTATGCTCCTGGATGAGATCAGCAAGGGGTGGAGGCGGGCTGTGATTAGCCAGGGGTGCTGGAACACGATAAAATCGGACACCCGACAAAATCACCAGAGATTTGGCCATATATGGATGGAGGCGTGGTGTTGCCCGAAGGGGCCTGTCTTTGCCCATATATGGTCTTGTGGATCGTGAACCGAGGTTAATCGTATAAATTCTTGCTCAGTCGATCCGGCAAGCCAGCCCAAAGTCGATCGTAATTTGCAGGTCAATCGCCGAGTCAATTCATTGCCGATCGTCCCATGGATCGAGAAATCCCATTGGTTAGTTTGGCGTCATCTGGCACGCCCCATTTTTGTGATTGGCAAATATCTGCACGATCGGGTGACTCCCGTCGCAGCCCGTTTTTATTGCGTCACAGCGGCGCCGCGCGTACCTGCGCGTGGTCGTGTCCGGCCGTCAGGTTGAGCCCCACGGCCGCCATGTACGTGCTGCCGATCGTCTTGATCTTCTCCACGCCGCTGAACTTGAGCTTTGACAGCAGCTGCGCGGAACGACGACAAAAAAACCACGGGACAGAGACGGAGGTCGCGGAGCGGGAGTCACCGCAAAGCCCGCGGGTTTCAGGGTCTCGCGTCTTAAGTTGCCAATTTAACGTGAAATCAGTGATGTTGTTCAGAAGATGATGTTCAGACAAGCCGGGAGATGGAGCGATGGGATCGGCGTGTGTCGGCGCTGAGCGGATTGTTGCATCGCAGGATCGCAAAGAGGGGTTGCGACGGCTTGAGGAGCAATTCATCTAGATGACAATGATTACGATGATGACGATGGTTAAGATTAAAACGCTGACCATGAGGATTATGATTGGGACAAGATGATAAGTAATTATGGCAATAATCACAAATACGACAATGACGATGATTATTCACAAGTGAATTTTGGGTGAGGTCATCGTAATCATCTGTCCAAATCTGTGTCATCGAGGCCCTCCACCACCCGACACAGCCATATTATCATTGCTTCAGCCCACCAGTACGTTTAAGAACAATCCTCACAATGACATTTAGCATTCAGATACGGGACATTTGAAATTGCGTAAAACATCATCAGGACAAGATCCAGGAAGTCAGGATAACCACATCACCTGACCCAACTTCCTAAAATAGGGGTCATGACCCCAAAGGAACCAACCAATCAGAATGAACTAGATTTCAACCATTACAAAGTAACTTACTCTCATTTGACTCTAATCTATCTGGGTCAATTAATAACATAGAATGTATTATTCACTAATACTGCTTATGAACACATAAGCCTGAAGCAGGATAGTGCGATTATTTGGCCAGATCATGCCATGACCTAAACAAAAAAAATCCATTATGAGTCATAAAAAATCAACACATTCGTGAACATTAGTTATTTATTGTACTGTGAGGGAGGGCCATTGTCTGAAACGTCACCGATTACATATTATTTTCTTTGAAGCCTACACATTGCTATTTACGAATTTGTTGAGTTTTTATTTATTTATTAAGTGCGTTTCTGTACCACTACCAACACAGCAGCATTAATAACCAGCTAATTTTGTTTGGTGTGCCAGGCTAGGTGCACTTTGAGGCCACGTGTGTGGAAGGCTCGCTTTGGAGGAGGTCACGGAACAGGCCCAGGCGTTGAGGCGGCCTACGGCATTAAGGCGACGATTCGTGACCACGACTATGACTTTGTGCCGAGTTAATCGTCATCGCCCTGCCCATACAGAGCCCCCGTTTCTTCTGCTCCTCCCTCCCACTCCTGCTCGTTGTCGTCGTCATCGTCGTCGTCATCGTCGTCGCCGCCGCCGTGGTCACCTCGTCGAAGTCGGCGATGATCTCGTTGAGGAGGCGCAGGCACTCGAGGCCGGCCTTGTTGGCGTCGGTCTCGTTGTAGAACTCCTTGAAGTCGGGGATGGAGGCGAAGAGGACGCACACGGCCTCGTGCGCTTGGTTGTAGAGGTACTGCGGGTGGGGAGCGAACCCACACGCCGGAGCCGCCGGGGCAATGGAGAGAGGAGAGAGAGCGAGGGATCATCTACCGCACGATACTATCATACAACGACAACACCGCGATCCCAGTGGGCATAAGTAGTGAAGTTTCTCTGTGCGAGTCTATAGGTCTCTATATTAGTTCATGTGCCTCTATGGGTCTCTATGTGAGTTTTCTATGCGAGTTGACGGGGTTATATCCGAGTCTACGGGTCTCCGTGTGAGCCTATAGATCTCTAGTGAGCACGTGAGTCAATAAAACACGTCGTCGATGTATGTAGCATCTAAACGCAAGCGCATCTCCACACGGCATGTTTTACTGCATAGAGAGAAAGAGGCATTCAATCATGGGCTGAGGGTATAAGCAAGGCCTACAGTGGCAGGGAGCCGACACCACAGGTGGCAGGGAGGAAGGAAGTTGTTACGGGAGCAACAGATGAGAACGGGCGGTGGAGAGGTGGGGGCAGGTGAGAGGAGGGGGGCTAGCCCACCTCGTTGGGCATCTTCATCTTGAGGAAGATGTTGGCGACGTGAGCGGGGAGCACGTTCTGCAGCAGCACTCGGTTCACGTTCCCGATCATCTCCAGCTCCTCCCTCTCCTTCTCGAACTTCGTCCTCCACAGGAAGTCCAGGCGGCAGTAGTAGTTGTTCTGTGGCAACGGCAGCAGTGAGACTCATCCCGATGCGCGATAGTGTGTGTTTGTGCATGCATGTCTGTGTGTGCGCATGTCTATGTGTGCGCGTGTCTCTATGTGTGTGTTTCTCTTCGTAGGGGAGCGGTAGTGTAGCGGTTAGCGCGCTGCGCTATGAACCTGGCGACCCGGGTTCGATTCCCGCTCACGGCTAACACCAGTGACGATTATCTGAACCGGTCCTGGGCATCCCCTAGGTCGACTCAGCCTTAAATGAGTACCTGGTGCGGTGAGTAAACATCGCCACTAGGGAGACAAAGGCGGTCGGGCGTGGTGCTGGCCACCCACCCCCTCGTGTACCGTTCCGGCCTTCATAGGTGCTCGCTAACAGCACTTGCCCCTACAGTCTGTTCAGGCTATACGGGGGATCTTTGTGTTTCTCTTCGTGTGTGTCTGTGTGTGTCTCTCTTCATAGGTGCTCGCTAACAGTCTCTTAACGCTATACGAGGGGGGGGGGGTGGTCTATGGGTGTCTCTATGTGGGTGTGTCTGCCTATGATCCATCCTGGGTTAACCAGGTTGGATTGTGTGAGGAGCTCATAAATAAATCTTGATTTGTTAATAAATCCTTGAAAGATCTGGACACATTCCCATCAGTGAGCTCCTCGAGTGGGCAAGGCTGCATTGGCTGGGTCATGTAGCCTGCATACACAGCCACCACATGCCCAAGAAGCTTCTGTTTGGCCAGATATAGGGGGCTGAATGGGCACAGCAGGTTGTGGAGCTGAGTGGACTTGCTGAAGACTTGTACCAGCTGGTGTCAAGATCGGCTTCTATGGAGGAGGCTTGTGAAGGACTGCTACTGGGCAGTTGAACGCAGTCGCCCTCCAACAACGGCGAAGGGCAGAGGAGTGACGCTCACAACAATGAGCAGAACGCAGGGTGACGAAAATGCAGCAAGTTGACACAATAGGGGGCACAGGTGGTACATCTGCCAGTTCGTGAGTCAACCCACAGCACCTGGGTCTGTCCCGTGACCTTTCAGTGACCCTTCGACACTTCACGTGTTCCTCGGACTGCACCTGGCCTGGCACAAGTGCCGACGGTGATGTCACCGCTACTTTGTGGCGAATGGCGGTTGTTGTTGTTGTGTCTGTATATGTGTTTGTGTATCCATAGGCTGCTCGCTAACAGAACTTGCCCTAATAGTCTGTTCAGGCTATACGGGGATCTTTGTCTCTGTGTGTATCTTTGTGTATCTCTCTCCGCTGATCTGTGTGTGTGCAGCTATATTGGTTACTTACACGAGTGCCCGGCATGGTTCGTAAACACAAGACGAGGTGAAAAGACACAGACGGTCCAGCGTATATGACTGGTCACACCACCCACCCTCTCATGAGCTGCAGTGGCCTTCATAGGTGCTTGCCAATTAAACAGATGACGCCCAGCACACACACCTGTCTGGCGAGGAAGACGAGGGTGACGAGGAAGACAAAGATAGCCACCACGCCCATGATCTTTATGTCCTTGAGCACGGAGATGCCCCTGCAGAGCCACACGCGAACGGCGTCACCCCTCCTCGTACGCACAGCCTCACGCACACAGCGTCACCCCTCGTATGCACAGCCACACGCGTGCAGCGTGGTTACGACCGTTGTCAGTGACGAGTGACATCTGAACTGGTTCTGGGCGCTCCTCCCCCTTCACCAACACACACGGACCAGCGCGGTGAAGTATGGTCAAACAGCCACCATGGCCGAAACAGCGTGAAGAGGCCTCCGTCGAGCAATGGATCGGCAAAGGGCCGAAAAGTAATTCCAAAACGACCAATTATTAAAATGTTGATTGTTGTCGGTGTCAAAGACTACGCTTTGAACCCGGTCACCTGGGTTCTATTCCCGGCCATGGCTAAACACCAAGCGGTGACCGACATCCCAACCGATCCTGGGCCTCCCCTCGGCAGACTCGGGCCTCAAAACGGGTGTGCGGCGCGGGCGAGGGCGCGTGAACGTCGTCGGCGCCGTGGGCGATCAACTCAATTTCCATCCTCGCACTCAAAACAACCGGCGGACGGGCGACCTGTGACGTACTTCGGGTAGAGCGACGCCGTGGCGTTCCCTGCCGCCGCCGCGGAGCACCAGGCCGCACCGGTGCTGTTGGCGGCCGTGGCGCCATCGGCGTACAGCGAGCAGGTGAAGGCGTCGAGCTGGAGCGCGTGTGTGCGCAGCAGGATCGCCACATACGCCGCCACGGCGGCCGCCAACAGCAGGAGCTTGAGCTCCTGGTTGACGCGCATGAAGACGCAGACGCTCACCAGGCCCAGCAGGCAGCAGTAGACCGCGTACTGCGGGGCGGGGACGGAGGGGGTGGCGGCAGGGAAAGGCGGAAGTGAGGGAGCGAGTGGGAGAAGTAGCGGGCGGGCGGGCGGCGAGATGTTAACTAACTTGCCTAATATACAGGACGTCGTGGATTCGATCCCGACCCTGACATCTGTATACATGTGTAGTGGCATAGCGCTGGCTGCTGGCGAAATAGGGGAACTGCGGTGTACGGCAGTCCTGAAGTCAGTAGGCCACGATAGACACGAGAGGGGGACATCTAAAGGGCAAAGGTCACAGAAGGGGCCTATCGTGAAGCCTCGGGAACCCGCTAGGAGGTTCCAGAAAGGGGGTGTGGCCAGGGGGCGTGGCCAGGAGGCGTGGCCAGGGCTGAGCGAGGCCGCACTGGGGGTCTAAGAGGGGCCCCTGTGGGGGACCTCGTGGCTGTTGCTGGAAGTGGGATGATCCCTGTCGTACTGGTCAAGTCCATCATCGTCATCATCTCATCATCGTCACCATCTCCTTGTCGTCGTCTCCGTCTTCACCATCCCGGGGCGCCGCTAGTCAGACAGCCCACCAAGTGTTCTAACTAAGCAGTGCCGCCGACAATAGACGGTCCTAATAATAATAGTGTGCACCCACGTAGGGTGTTGTGTGTTATCCTGATGGTGCTTGCTAAATAAAGAAGTGCCTCCAAGTCTTACTGTCTCCGAGTTGAGTCACTACAAGCGTGTTTAGAGTTTGCATGTTCTCCCTGTGGTCATGTGGATTTTTCTACGGGTCCTCCAGTTTTCCCTCCACATGTACAAAACATGGCGTTTCTACGTGGAATTTGTAGGTTCTCACTCCTCGCTGCTCTGCATAGGTTTCCTCCGGCTTCTCCGTTTTCCTCTTCCCATAAATGAAAGGAAAACCACGCAATGTAAACGGTATCGGCCAAACATCCCAATGCTGGAAATGATGCTGCAAGTTACGCGATTGGGGTTGCACACAGCAGCAATGTCGCCCCCTACGGCGATAATCTGGCAGGACCCTCCTGAAATAAAGTCTTGAGACTCGGTGAGACTTTCCTGGATCAACAAACATCGCAATTATAATAATAATCAACATAAACACAAGTAGACACGTGATAATGGTCAAAATATTAGCGATGGGGGCATGAAGCTTAATTAACGATCGTCTTGAGCATGGACACTTAATGTTGCAGTGTTGTTAATGATCATAGTGGTGGTACATACACTCAGTATTGAGTGTGAGTGTGTTTGTACGCATGCATGTATGATTGTGTGTATGAATGTGTGTGAGTGCGTGAGTCTGTGAGTGCGGACATGTGTTGAGTGTGTGAGCGAGTACGTGAGTGTGCGGTGTGACGAGACGTACGGGCAGGTATCCGCACTCGGCGGTGATGCTGGACCCTGGGGCGCACACAGAATCCTGGGGCAGCAGCAGCTACAACGACAACATCAACAACATCAACAACATCAACAACATCAACAACCACAAGCAGGTGACCGCACTAGACTGTCACCTGGGTTTAGATCTGGCCTATGGACAGGGAACATCTTTGCACGTGGTGTTTGAACTGGTCTTACACCTTCTAGACGTTGACTCAGCCTTAAATGAATGTCATGCATGTGTGGGAGTGTATGCATCTGTGAGGAGTGTGAAGAGTGTGGGGAGCGGTGGTGCAGCGGTTAGGGCACTGCACTACAAACATCGGTGACGAATATCTGAACTGGTCTTGGGCCTCCCCCCAGGTCGACTCAGCCTCAAATGAGTACTTTGTGCGGTGTGTAGTAAACATCGCAACCGGGGAGACAAAGGCAGTCAGGCATGGTGCTGGCCACCCACCGCCTCGTGTGCAGTGCCGGCCTTCATAGGTGCTCGCTAACAGCACTTGCCCCAACAGTCTGTTGAGGCTACACGGGGGGGGGGGGGATCTTTGTCTTTGGGGTGCCCGGCCTCACCATGTTGAGCACGGCCATGACGAGGACGGTGCCGGTGGCGAGGACGGTGAGGACGAGGCGCAGCCAGAGGCCCCACGACGACAACGAGGTGACGTCCCGTGCCCACGCCGCGTCACGGCCCTGCCCCCGCACGGCAACCCACGCCGCGTTAGGGCCTCGGCAGTGGCGGGTTGAGTCATCAATCGTTACTGAATTCTTGAGCCAACTGGCCAATTAGCACGGTTGGTTACGTGCGGTGTGAAAGAAGTTCAACATGCATACATACAAGGGCCATTGCCTTAAACGTTGCATATATATTGCTCATTTTAAGGCGATACACGGAGTGTTGTTTTTATTGACAAATGCGTTGGGTTTTTCTTGTGCACCACTGCCAATGCAGCAGCAACAGCGTCACCAGATAATAATGATAATAATGACCGATAACTATTTGTGAATGACGTCACGTAATCTTTACCATCCACAACAAAGGAGGCGGAGCGTACTATTACTATGGTCATTGCACCGAAACATATATCTTCATCTCTTAGGGCCACGCAGCGGTATTGCCAAACGTGTCGAGTTTGTTTGTTACATCACTCGCTCGGTGAGCTGATCGGTTGAGTGGACGGCCAATTGCCCGGTGTAAAGTTCAAGCGATCGCCCACCCGATCAGTCGGTGGGGGAGGGGGGGGTGGTGTGCGGGGGGGAGTCGTAGGTCACCATCAGCTTCCCCGCGATGGCCGTGGCGAGGACGAGGAGGATGATGAAGGCGGAGACGCCCCACGAGATCCCGAACGGCACCGTCCTGGCCCCGCCAAGACACGAGGACAAACATCGAGTTAGGGCCACTTCCCGATGGACCGGGGCGTCGATAGCTACTGGTACTCATCTCCCGTTTACAGCACCTGCGCAGAGCCGGTGATGGATATTCCATATTACTATGGCCGGTGGGGGGGGGGGGGGAGTATCTCTCCAAAGGACAACCCACATGCTGACTTCCCCACAGAGTGGAGCTCAAAACAAAGACCACCAACCCCCTCCTCCCCGCGGCGTAAACACTGAGCATGCGCAGCGGGGACCACTGAAGCGACAAGCAGACAGAAGTAAACAAAAACATAACTGAGGTTTTGTCTGGGGACAGGGAAGAGGGGGATGGGGAGAGAGAAGGAGAATAACAGATGACAATGAGAGCTGGGGAGCAGAGAGGAATTGACGAGGCAGAAAGTGGAAGAAGACGTCAACCGTGAGGCCACGTCATGAGATCATGTGACCACGCCATGAGGTCACGTGACAACGGCACGAGGCCACATCACCACACCACGAGTTCACATGACTCAGCCATAAGGTCACATGACCACGACGATCAGGACTTCGTTTACATGAAGCTGCTGCTGGAGTCAAATGAAACAATAATTCATAATTTCAGCAGTGGATGTCAGCACGAGGAGGGGGGATGGGGTGCGGAGAGGCTGGGTGGTATGTGCAGTGGCACCGACCTGGGAAACAGCAGCATCTGCACGGCGAAGACGCTGCCAAACACCAGGGTGGCGCAACCGATGTAGAACGGGAAATGTGGCAGGGCCGTGTTCCGGTACTACCAAGATAAAAAGACAGATACCCCGAATAGCCTTAACCAGACTGCCGGGGCAAAAGCTGTTAACGAGCACCTATGAAGGCCGGAATGGGACACCAGGGGGTGGGTGGCCAGCACCACACCCGGCTGCATTTGTCTCCCTAGTGCTGATGTTTACCTAGGCAAGGCCCAGGACCGTTTCAGATTATTGTCACTGGCATTGGCAGTGAGCGGGAATCAAACGCGGGTCACCGGGTTCGTAACGCAGTGCGCTAACCACTGCACCACTGTTCCCCACAAACACACACACATACAGAAACACACACATACATACAGCCACATACAGAGACACACAGAAACACAGCTGCACACGCAAGACAAAGATCCCCTGAATATACCATAAATAGACTGTTGGGGCAAGTACGCACCTTCTTCTCCAGATCCGCTTCATCAAACCACAGCGAGACGCGGTTAATTTCCTCCGTTTGTGTGCAATGCCTGCACAACATCGTCAAAATCATCAACACAATGTCGTTACCGCCATCTTTATCGTCATCATCACCATCACAACATCGGCACCAACATCATCATCGTCGTCACCATTATCATCGTCAACATCATCACAACATCGTCACCACCATTATTATCATCATCAACAGTTGATACAATTAGTGTCAAAATGTTCGCGTCATTGTGTGTTGGTGTGTATGTGCGTCGACTCAGCCTAAAATGAGTAACTGGTGCGGTGTGTGAACATCGCCACTAGGGAGACAAAGGCAGCTTGGAATGGTGTTGGTAACCAACCCCCTTGTGTGCTGTACCAGCTTCCATAGGTCCTCACTAACAACTCTTGCCCCAACGGTCTGTTAAGCCTATATGGGGGATATTTGTCTTTGTGTAAATGTTTGTGTAGTAGAGGAGAGTGGTAGTGCTGTGGTTGGCGCACTGCGCTACAAAACCGGCAACCCGAGTTCAATTGCCACTCGTGGACAACACCAGCTATGATTTAGCTGAACTAGGCTTGAGCCTACCCCTACGTTGACTCGGCCTCAAGTGATGTGTAAACATTGCCACGGGAGAGACAAAGTCAGCTGGGAACGGTGCTGCCAACCAACCCCCTCGTCTGCTGTGCCAGGCTTCATAGGTTCTTCCTAACAGCACTTCCCCAACAGTCCTGGAAGGCTATATGGGGAATCTTTGTCTTTGTATACTTGTCGCTGTGCATGTAGTTCCGGTCGGGGGCTCGCACCACTGTGAGTTGATAGCCGCAATTTCTTGGGTCATTTTCTGCCGAACTCTGTCCTCAACCATCTTCTGTGACTTTGCCCTGCGCAGACAAGCACACACACACACACGTGTACACAAAACAAAGATCCCCCGTATAGCCTTAACAGACTGTTGGGGCAAGTGCTGTTAGTGAGCAGCACCTATCAAGGCCGGCACGGCACACGAGGGGGTGGGTGGCCAGCAGCACCACGCCCCCACCACCTTTGTCTCCCTAGTGGCGATGTTTACACACCGCAGCAGGTACTCATTTGTGGCCGAATCGACCTAGGGGAGTCCCAAAACCGGTTCAGATAATTGTCAGTGGTGTTGGCCGTGAGCGGGAATCGAATCCGGGTTGCTGGGTTCGTAGCGCAGCGCACTACAACGACACACGCAATTTGGTGACGTCACCACAGAGCGTGTGGCAGGCTAGGTGCACTGTGAGGCTGTCACATGAAGTGTCGAAGGCTCTCGCTGCTGGATGGAAAATGATCGAAATCAGAAACAATAGTAAAAGGGACGGTAAGAATCTGATAAAATAATAATAATAACAACCTGACCTTAACTACAATTGTGGCTTCGATTGGTGACAATTCAAGCAATCACTGGTGGGGTGAATCATAAAAAAACACTTCGTACCCATTACATGCCTATCTATGTATATAAAAGGGAAATTTGTGAATATGTGTGTCTGTTCAAAACGTTTAGCATAGTTTCCAACATGCAACAAACTTGAAGTTTGGCATGTGGGTAGCTTCCAGACTGTACACAATGCAAAAAGTATATAAAAAAACTTTTGTATTTTAGATTTTGGGGGGGGGGGGGGGGAGGGGGGCACAATAATGGATATATTTTGCACGGCAAATGAGTGGTGACGTCACATCTGTGATGTCACCTGCATGCGGCAGCGTCACGCAGTGTGCCTGCCGACGTCACGCATTCCCCCCCCCCCCAACCTCCGCATAGGCCGTGTATTCATCCAAGACAAGAATCCAAGTCCCGGGCAAAGCCGGGTAGTAAAGCTAGTATTAAAATATAAACACTAATTAATTGGCTGAAAACATCTGGTTGGCAGCGTTGGAACTTCGCCACGTGGCAGCTGCTGCCTCCCCGCTCGTCTGTGGTTCCTCCTCGTGCCTCACTCTGAATCGTCCCCCCCCCCCCCTCTCTGTCGTCCCCTCTCTCGCGCTCTCCGAGTCGTCCTCTCCGTCTCTCTACGAGAGCAAGCACTACGCGGCGGCGTGTAACAAGGTGAACACTATCATTACCTAGAAATAATAATTATCATCAATAAAAAGAATTGATCTCTCCCAGCCGGGGAGGGGGCTGTGTGGGCATGTGAGAGAGGAGGGGTCGTGACCGCACCTGTGGAGCTTCTTGTTGCCGTTGGCTGGCGTGAGCGGAATCCCCTGGATAGACGGAGGGGGGCGGGGGGGGCACCAGGGGAGGGAGAGGGGGGGGAGGAGAGAGACCCGGAGAAGTTGTTTCAGCGACTGACCTCGCGGCTCTACGTAGGTCTACGGGTCTCCAGATTGAATACTTTTAGCTTGTTGTCCTTACTCCACACCTCCCATTAGCATGGTTGGCTACGTACAGTGCGAAAGAAGTTCAACATAAATACGTACATACGAGTCCATGGGCCTTTGCATAATGGACCGAGTCGATCGACGTCAAAAAATGGGCTGCCCATGCACACACGTGTACACAAGAGCATGAGCTGCCCGGCCCTATGTGTCTGTGGGTCTCTCTGTAATACTGGGTGGTCATTATCTGACCCCTGACCGACCCCTAGCCAACCCATGGTCAATCTTGGCTGACCCCAGGCTGACCCCTGCCTAAACCCTGGCCGACCCCTGGCTGACCTTGTCTTTGCTCTCCGGGACGATGCTCTCGCGGTGCCCGAGCAGGGTGAAGGGTTTGGCTGCGCCCCACGTGCCCAGGTAGTTGGTGACGCGCACCGACGTGCGCCCACGGGAGCTCGCGTCCTCCACAAAGCTGACGCGGCGCTCGCCCACCCGCTGAGCCTGGGGGGGTGGCGGGTGGAGTGGAGTGGGGGGGGGAGAGGACAGGGTCGGGGGAGGGGCAGGGTGAGGGAGTGGTAAGGGAGGGGGGTGCGCTTTGGTCGAGTGGTGGTGCCGACGCATCGAGGGGCGGAAAGAAAAGTTACCTTTGGAAGGGAAGCCTCGCCCTGCTTCCCCCTGCCCCCCCTGTCCCCCCTAACCCCTGCCTTTGAATTTACAAACTCCTCCTGAGACGGCAGCAGGGATATAGACATGAGATTGAAGTGTAGTGGAAGATACGAGAGAAATGTAAACCGGAAATAGAGATGCAGTGAGATGAATGGTGAGAGATACAGGCAAGGTCGGTAATGGGAGAGATGAATTGGCTCTCACGTTAATTGGCTTAATTCATGTGCTGATTGGTATTTTCATTTGAGCTGATGTTTCATGAATCCCAGGACCCCTTGAGCTGTCTTGGTGCCTGGCACTGCCACCGGCTGTGGTCACCATCATCACCGTCGTCATCAGCAGCTGTTGTAGCAGCAATAAAATTCTATACAGTAAAAGGTTAAGTTTCAGGCAATGGCTCTTCTTCACAGCGCACAGAGGGACTGAGAGATCTTTCTGAGTCTCTCTGTGTGTGCTGTAAAGAAGAGCCATTGCCTGAAACGTTCCGTATGAAATGTTTTTCTTTTCAAGGCCGCACGGAGTGGTTATTATTGACGAACGTGTTGACTTTATTGTTGTTGCGCTTGTGCCCGGCTGCCAACGCAGCAGCAGCCGCAGAGCCGCGAATATAAATTAGCCACACGATTAAGCGCGACCACGCGAACGGGCATTTTCCGAGTTTAGTGTCGACATTTGGATCGTGACGCAGGCTTTGGAAAGTTCGCCCTTAAACGCCGCCGCCCTGTTGTCGGCGGCAGCGGCGGTGGCTCCGCCCCGGGGGCTTGGCGACCGCCGAGAGCCGCGCGTTCACCGTGCCGCCAAAATGTCGGTGCGCGCCCCTCGTCAGCACACGCACAGGCGCAGCACCACACCAAGAAAAATCGCATAGCGACGACCCCTCTGCTGCCGCACCCGAAGGCCTCACCCTGGCTCCACTGTTCTAGAAGGTGGCGGGCTGCTTGGAAAGGCCGCCTGCCAACCAGCACTTGATGACGATTTACCCCCACCACCGTGATTCGATTCAAGAACGGATGGATCTTGGCTCGTTTACAGCCAGATTGAGTCAGCGGATCACAATGATGCGTGCACATTTAAAAGTAAATCAACTTCATTGAAATCCATTTGCCAATGCATTGCCGGATGAAGGCCTCCCCACACCAATTTCGTAATGGGGGTTGTCAGAGAACACTTCGTGCTGGTGAGTGCAGGTTGGACCGGTTCAGACACCACTAGCCACTGATGTTAGCCGTAGCGAGTGATTGTTTGTCTCGGCAAAAAATGACGTTGCCAATGACGCGTGTTCGAGCCAAGCGACCACCGTGACAAACCGCGTGGGCGGTCGTGACCGCTGACCTTGGGGTCGATGATGAAGTAGGTGCTGATGCCGTGTTCGCGGAGGTACGCGTTGCGCTCCCCCCCATTGCCCGGCTCCACGAGGAACGCGTCTCCCAGAAATCCCAGCGTCGCCTCCGTGATGTGAACTCGACTGTGGCGGGGTGCGGGACATGGCGGGCCGAGGGGGGGGGTACAAGCCACAGATGGCAGATGAGACATCGTCGGTTTTGGGAAGTTACAAAGTCGGAGTATTTAAATATATTTTCTGTTGTATTTCATTTTAAACAGATGGGGTTTTTTATGCAATACATTCACAGCCTGTTTTGTTACTGTCTGTATTCGTTGTGCCGTTAACTGTGCCTTATCTCGCTATCGAAATCAGCTCAAGGCTCCCGTAAACCACGTGACTTCTGTGTGACCACCCCCCACTGAACACCTCCCCTCTCCCCGCCCGCTGTGAGAATAGACGCCGCTCCTCCGTGCAGCTTGAAAGCCCTGATGCAGCCTCCTCCTCCCTCTCCTCATCTCTGCCGACCCCTCTGTGGACGTGGTCACAACTGCGGTGAAGGCGGGGCGGTGTGGGGCGGTGCGGGGCGGTGCGGGCTACCCGGGCAGTCCTCCGGCCTCCATGTAGTTGGCGAGCGTGACGTCGTGTGACCACACGTCGTACTGCCACTTGCGGAGGCCGATGACGCCGCACAGCACGTTGCCCGAGTGGACGCCCACGCGCATGTTGATGTCCACGCCCGTGTTGTCGCGCACCTGCCTGTGCACGCACCTCTGATTAGTGCGGTTGGCTACGTACGGTGCGAAAGAAGTTCAACATACACACATACGTGCGCCACAAAGACAAAAGAATCCCCCCCAGCGTGTACACTTGAACAGACATCGCAGTGATTTAAGGCTGAATATCCCCTTGAGGAGGCCCAGAACCGATTTGGTTGTTCGTCACAAGCGGTGACTGGCGGTAAGTGAGAATCAAACTCGGGGCCGCCGGGTGGGTTCGAAGCTCGGTGCGCTAACCGCTGAACCACTACACCAAAGAAAACAAAGACAAAGCCCCCCCCCCTTATAACCTAAACAGATTTTCGGGGCAAGTGCTGTTAGCGAGTAGCTCTTCCGGAGGCCGACTCGGCGCACACGAGGGGGTGGGTGGCCAAGCACAACGCCCGACCGTACTTTGTCTCCCCCGTTGCCGGTGTTTTATACACACTCCACCAGGTACTCGTTTTAAGGCTGAGGCTACCAAGAGGAGGACCGGAACCGGTTCAAATATGGGCCACTGTTATTGATCGTGAACGCGAATCGAACTCGAAGTTGCTGGGGTTCGTGGTGCAGTGCCTCGACCACTACGCTACCGCTCCCCACGCACGCTCCGAGGGATGGCGCCGCTCCCTCCTCTTGGCACGAGCGCTTCCCCGGTACGTGGCCGTGGGCGTGGCGATGCGCCGACCTCGCAAGGCTCAGGGTGACCCGGCCAAATCTTGCTCACTCCCTCTCCTCTCCCCCTTGTGAGGAATTGTCGTCAGTACCTCTTTCTTTTTCTCTCTATCCCGATGCTTGTCCCCTTGCCTCCGTCTTGCTCTCTCTCCATCTCTCCCTCTTCCTGTGCCTCTCTCTCCCCATTAGTCTCTATCCCTGTGCCTCTCTCTCTCTCCGGGTCCGTCTCTCTCACTTTGAAATTCCCTTCGTTTGCGAGCCTCTCCTGTTACCTCTACCCCTCTCTCCCTGCTCTCCCCCTCGCACCATATCGCCTGGCACATGTTGAGTCCCATGCGCACGCAGTTGTGCGCGTGCTCTCTCAGCGGCATGGGCAGCCCCGACACGCAGTAGTAGCAGTCGCCCAGGATCTTGATCCGCATGCATGCGTTCTCCTGCACACGGCCGAGCAAAGCCCACACGTCATCACACATTACGCATCACTCGCTTGCCCCCGCTCGCCCGCTCGCCCGCACGCCCGCTCGCTCACTCGCTCATATCTTAGTTCAGTTGCAGGTTCATTTTGCATGGTCAATACCACTGCTGGCCACCTTTGTCTCCCAGGGGCGCCGTGGTCGAGAGATGTTAACTTCCTCGCCTAATATGCAGGAGGTCGTAGGTACGATCCCGACTCTGACGCCTGCTGTATATTTGGAGTTTGCGTGTCTCTCTCCCCGTGGTCACGTGGATTTTTCTCCGGGTCCTCCGGTTTTTTCGTCCACATTTAGAAACACGCGTTTAGAGTGTTTGGCTGCTACTTCGTTGAGCTACCAAATGTGAAAAAGAGCTCTGAAACTCGGTGAGCCTTAGCTGGTAAGAAAATTGTAGGTGCTGATGTTTTGTACACCGCACCAGCTACTCACACTTCATGCTCAATCGACCACTCACCCACACAGTGCCACAAAGACAAAGCTCCCCCGTTTAGCTTGAACAGACTGTTGGACCAAGTGCTGTTAGCGAGCGCCATTGAAGGCCTGACACGGCACACGAGGGGGTGGAGGGCCAGCACCACACCTGGCCATCTTTGTCCGTCCACTAACGATGTTTACACACTTTATCACGTACTAATTTGAGGCTGAGTCGACCTAGGGGAAGACCAGGAACAGTTCAGATAGTCGTGACTGGTGTTGGCCGTGAGCGAGAATCAAACGCGGGTCGCCGGATTCGTAGCGCAGCGCACACACGCATGCCCACACACGCATGCCCACGCATGCCTACGCATGCCCACAGACACGCGCGTGCGCACCTTAGCGATCATGTCGAAGCGGCCGAAGAGCTCGTTGAGGACGCCCACGAGCTCCGCCGCCGTGCACACGCTCGCCAGCTGCGTGAAGCCCACGATGTCTGCGTACAGGATGCTGGGGGGGGGGGGGGTTGAGGGGGGAAAGGGGGGGGGCAACGCGCAGTGGTTATGGGTGGCAGCGTGGGCACACACGGGGGTTACTTAGCGGGCGGAAGGGCGAGATCTCGGGCCTGGCCGTGGCCGGCAGCAGTGGCCCAGGCATTGAACTGGACACGGGGAGGGCCTGGGGACGAATTAACGCGCCCACTGCGGATATAACGAGCGAGCGGATGGACGAGCGAATGAATGAATGCGTTAATTAACTAATTAATGATTTATAACTAAATTAACGACCAAAGGTGTGGATTTTAGCGTGACCATTTACAGAGGCTTGGGCATTAGGAGAGGCATTAGTCGTAGAGGCATTAGTCGTATGGGCATGGTCGGGTTCGTGAGCCGTAGGGGTACAGACACAGGCTCACTGGCGTGGTCGTAAGCAGGGACTGGCAGCAGAGGACCACTAACAAGGACATGCCCTCCGCAAGTAACTGATGTCCGCCATAGTAATGTGGAATTTCCAATTGTTAATGTACTCAAATTAGAAATGTTGTGGGTTTACTCCCCAACACACCGATGTGCTAAAGTCATAACTAATTGGCACGTTCTGTTTAGGTGACTTTACCTACCAATTGGCTGTGTCGGGTGGTGGTGGGTTTAACGACACCTTCACATTTACGCGTTCTAACCCAAAAAAACTTTATCGTGGATAATTTTCAGCTTTGTAACAGGACTGTAATTGGAAATTACCACCACCCCATGCTAGTTAAACCCACTCAAGACTTGTATTTGCATGCACGTCATTACAAGAGATCTCTTATGTATATATAACAAAACAACTCGACACATGAATCAATAACATTACCTCTTATTATTATTATTAGGTCTGTCCTCCTGTAACACCACATTTTCATCACTCAAATAGGATATAACGCGATGGATGTATTAGAAAACACATTTTTGATAACGCAGATACGAATTGGATAAAACGCGATTGAGCGAACAGAACTAAGCCGTGCGAGTATTAATAAGCGGTGGTACGGCTGCCTCTGCGTAGCATCGCACGAGGCAGCTGCTGGATGCGTCTAGACGCTACCCACGCGCCTGAGGCTTTGTTCAGCCTGCGTGCGCATCTCGCGTGTGAGCATGGACTGTGCTTTGACCCTATATTCTATGTGATTTATTATAACGCAACATTTCCATAACGCGGTGTTCTTTAGGAACGCAACCACCACGTTATGGTAAAATAGACTGTATAGTTGTAATCTAAAGGCCACACACACAGCAGTGTTATTTACAAATGTGTTGACGTTTTGTTGTTATTGCGAGCCGTCTTCGTGCACCACTGCCAATGCAGCATCTCCAAATAATTCCTCGCTCATTTCGTCGTCTGCCCTGACCCCCTTGGCGATGAAAATTCCACATTACTATGGCGGGTGACGGTTACATTGTTATGGGAACAACGGCTGGCGGGCGCACCTCACGTCCTTGTGCCGCTTCACGTAGAGGTTGTGGAAGTTGGACTTCTCGAGCCATGGGGTCTGGGGCCCACGGAACTTGAGCAAGATGTCTCCCTTCATCTCCGACGCCACGTGGGTGGGGATCACCGACAGCAGCAGGCAGTCCTGGGGGGGGGCGGGGGCGCCGGCAGGGGTGGGTGGGGTGGCATGTGTGTTCATCTCTCCATCTAAACCAGCTCAAGCCTCCCGTAAAAACACCCGACTTCTGTGTGGTCACCCCTACTCTGAATGCCTCCCCTCTCCCCACCACCGCCTGCTGTGAGAACAGTCGCCGCTCCTCCGTGCAGCTCACTTCTACCTCGCCCATTCCTTCCCTCTTCTTCCTCTCTTTCCTCCCCTCTCACCACCACCACCACTCCACCCTCGTCATTCCTTCTCCCCCTTCCTGTACCAGCGCTCTTCCTTCTCTCTCCCTGCCGCTCATCTTGAGCCGTGGCCCTCCTCTTTGTCTGACTTGGGGACGTCCGACCCAGCATCCCTTCCTTTCCCCCTTCCTTTTTCTTAATCCACGCATTGCACCCTTGACTCTCCTGCTCTTCCCACGATGAACCATGGGTAAAGAAGATTCATGATTAGAATCATAAAATCAAGCTGTAACGCGGGCAGTATTCACTCGCTCTCGAGGAATGAGCGACTCAGAGGCGTGAGGAGAAACCACAGACAAGTGGGAAGGCAGCAACAAGGCGGTGAGCCGGTGCGAGCAACAATTCATGGGTGTTCACATGTGGGAGGAAACTGGAGCACCCGGGGAAAACACAAGCGCGTGAGGGGGAAACACTCGATCCCATACAGATGGAACAGGCGTGGTCTACATTTGTTGAGATACCACATTCTCCTGGCAAGACCAGGGTAGGACTCTTCCTCGACACCCACGAGAAGGGAGTTACACAACATTCGTGCGGCGATCCACCAACCCTTGCCGCTGCCTCCACGGTGTTGGGTTACAGACAGCCAAGTTCAGCGTAGCTGCCGCCACCACCCCCACCACCACTACCACCGCTGCCGCCTGGCTGGGTCACGCGACACCCAACCCGTACCGGGTCCGGCTCTGGCCCCGGATGGTCAGTGGCGCAAACCACATGATTTTCAAAATCGCCTAAGTTCACCAATCGCCTGCAATTGCTTTGTCCACATCTGAGCACGCAATTGCGTACCAAGGAAATTAAACAGCATATTATTCACTGACCGACAGACCGGCCAATTGACCGCCCGCCCGCCCGACCAATTGATTGACCGGCAAACCCATCTATTGACTGAACGACTCATTGACGGACCGACAGATTGACCGATTAACCGACTGACTGACCGATCAACCGACTGACTGACCAATCGACCGACCGACGGTGCCCACACCTGTCTGCGCTTCTCAGCCTCAAGCTGCGCCTTGCTGTACACGTAGTTGTAGGTCTCGCTGTAGGTGTGCCGCAGCGCCAGCTCTACCATCCACTTGTGGTAGGCGCCGACCAGGTTCCCGCACACAAAGATCACCGCGTTCGCCACCAGCTAAAGGTCACGGGGGTCATGGGGGTCACAAGGAAAGAGGGGGGGGAGGAGATTGCAGTGTGTAGAGGTGTGAGCGGCGTGCGTGGCGGTTGTGGTGAGGAGTGTGTAGGGTTCTGAGTGGCATGGTGGTGGTGGTGGTAAGCAGCGTGCGTGGTGGTGATGGTGAGGAGTGTGTAGGGTTCTGAACGGCGTGGTGGTGGTGGTGAGCAGCGTGCGTGGTGGTGATGGTGAGGAGTGTGTAGGGTTCTGAGCGGCATGGTGGTGGTGGTGGTGAGCAGCGTGCGTGGTGGTGATGGTGAGGAGTGTGTAGGGTTCTGAGTGGTGTGGTGGTGGTGGTGGTGAGCGGGGGCCGGGGGCACCTGCTCACCTGCCGGGCCAGGATCCCGCGGTCGGCGGTTCGCAACCCCACGTAGATCGCCGTCGTGATGATGTGGGAGAGACACGTCGCCGACCCCGCGATCACCGCCTCCCTGAGCCTCAGTGGCAGCATTGTATAGCTCACGAAGATGATGTAGAGGAAGATCCATACCTTGGAGGGTGGCAAGAGAGATCGAACATGATACGTGTGTGCGTGGTCCGTTTGTGTCTGTCACTGCACACTCCTCTTTCTTTGTCCGTCTCGTGGGGAGCGGTAGCGCCACGATTAGCACGCCGAGCTACGAACCCGGCGACCTAAGTTCAATTGCCGTTCACAGCCAACACCAGTGACGGTTATCTGAACCGGTCCATGGCCTCTCCTAGGTCCACTCAGTCTCAAATGAGTACCTGGTGTCGTGTGTAAACTTCACCACTGGGGAGACAAAGGCGGCCGGGCGTGGTGTTGGCCACCCACCCCCTCGTGTTCTGTGCCAGCCTTCATAGGTGCTCGCTATCAGCACTTGTCCTCACAGTCTGTTTTCAGGCTCTACAGGAGAACTTTGTTTGTGTGTGTGTGTGTCTGTGTGTGTGTATCTGTGTGTCTGTGTGTGTGTGTGTCTGCATGTGTCTGTGTGTCTGTGTGTGTGTGTCTGTGTGTCTGTGTGTGTGTATGTGTGTGTGTCTGTGTGTCTGTGTGTGTGTGTGTGTGTCTATCTGACTGTCTGCGTCCGTCTATGCATGTCTTTTTCTCTACCAATTTGGGGGAGAGGAGAGAGGCAGTGGAGTGCGTGGAGGGCAGTAGAGTGAGATGAGAGGGGAGAGGCAGGAGAGTGCGCGGAGGGGAGTAGAGTGAGATGAGAGGAGTGAGGTGGGCTAGAGGCGACCCCAGGGACGATCGCAAATCCAGCGAGTCCGCTCCCCCTCACCTGGTCCCAGGCCGAGACCACCACTCCGCTGCTGAACATGAAGAGGAAGGCCCCGGCCATCATAAGGGCCCACACGACGACGGAGGGGAGCGGGGCGGAGCGACGCAGCGAGTCCCCGAAGCACGCGACCAGCGGCAGCAGCAGCATGAAGATGGCCAGTCCAGCGCTCACCGTGGCCAGGAACATCACCTGCATGGACGGGGTCTGCGGCCCACGGGGTAAGAGGGGGGAGGGTAGTGCGGAGGGCGGCGGGGGGTGGGCGGGTGGGAACCAGAGTGAGCAGGTCAGGGAGGGATGCATACGGGACACGACGTTGGGATAAAACCGCGGCAAATGAGGAGGCTGGGTGGCTCGGAGTGTCAGAGATGCAGAGCCGGCAACTGCTGAGAACCTGGGTTCGAATCCAGGTTCTCGGCCGCCCACGACGAGACCGTGTTCTCAAGTGAAGCGAGTTTGATGGTCTCAGCCTGGTCACCGGTGACTCCCATAGAGACCCACAGACTCGCATGGAGACCCACAGGCACACACTGAGACCCACAGGCACACACTGAGACCCACAGGCTCACACAAACTGAGATGTGATTAATCAGCATTCTGAAATGTAATGAGTTGATAGTCGTCCCAGCCCGGATCACCAATTTTTGCACAAAAAAACATCAAATTAAATTTGTCTCTGCGCTTAATCTGGATAAACTCCAGCACAGAGGATAACAATGGCAGTTTGACTGTCGTGCAGCAAACATTACTCTCAGTGGCAAGCCGGGGGTGGGGGGGGGGGTAATGCCACCGCCTTTACTGTGGCACTTGAAGACGGGATCTCAGAGGTAGCTCTGTGGGATCCGCCTCTGTGGGCTGTTCTCTCATACCATGCGTTGCACAGCGGTCGAAAGGGTTCCGAGTGGATTCTCTGTCCTGTGACGGTACGCAGATCGCACAATTTGACTAAAGATTGTGTAAAAAGACAAATACTGTAACAACAATATAGCGATGAATACGAGCTCAGTGAGAAATCATAACGAGCTGTGAGCAATCATAATGAGCTCCGCTAGCGCATGAGATGCCCTCCTAAAATTTCCATTCGAATTACGAATGGAAATTAACAAACATTTCGAACCCGTGTACAAAGGATCGAGTTTCCTGTTCATCGCCGCAGTCTCTGCGCTTCAAAACAACAGCAGCGATACCTTCATGATATACCGCCACGCGATCGCCAGGCTGCGACTCCCGCACCACTCCCTCTCCCCGGGAGCTTTTTTCCGAACTCCCCGATCGATCGTGTTTCATTCCAGAGGCAAGGATCTTCTCATTGTTACCGCTCGGGCCCTCATGCCGGTTTCAATTTCCCTGCTTCGGGACTCTTTTCCCACGTCACCGCTCACCTCCCACCCAGGTCTCAAATTCTCCCACCTGCTCCGAACAACGTCAATCCGAAACTTCCGTCAATAACTCCATGACCATCACATGAAACATATAAGTAATGTATACACACGGAGAAACCAGACTCAAAAAGTCATAGAATCACAATGAGAAACCCATAGACTCTTTCCTCTTTACATCGGTTGATCTTCTCTGTAAAGCTGATATTGATGCGGAGCAACACAGACTCACACAGAGACATGCAGAGAACCAAATACTAAAACCCATCGTCTTACACAGAGACCCACAGACTCAATCAAAAACAAATGAACTCACACAGACACCCATAGACTCACACCACAGTGACCGGCAGAAAGCCATGGACTCAAATACCTATAGAATCACATTATAATCCCATAGACTCTTTTCCCATCTTTGAGTCGAGGTTCAAGACCTTCCTCTTCGCATCTGTTGATCTTCTTCTCTGTACGGTTGATGTTGCTATAGAACAACAGCTGTAATTTTACATCGAGGTGGTTCGAAGGGGCAAGATGATTGCAGTCAGGAGTAGTGGAGCGTTCCATCGCTGCGATGACAATGCCTGCTCATCCTCCTCCATGCTTGTGACTGGGGCATTGAGTCTACGCCATAAATCCCATGGTTCCCTTCGAGGTGACCACAGTCGCACGCGGAACAGATCACGGAACACAACACGAGTGAAGGCCGACTGTAGTGAAGGGCGCGGGCACGGTGACGAGAAGTTAACTGCCTCGCCTGGTTTACAGGAGGTCGTGGGTTCGATCTTGACCCTGACGCCTGCCGTATATTTGAAGTTTGCATGTTCTCCCCGTGGTCGCATGGATTTTTCTCCGAGTCCTCCCGTTTTTCCCTCCACATTTATAATCCACGTGCATTTAGAGTATTTGGCTGCTATACATTTCCACTTAATAAGCTACTTCGTTGAGCTATCATTGGTGATGGCCAGGTCGCTTCTGAAAAGTAAAGTGAATACCTCGGAGTGCTTTACCTGGTAAGATAAAAAAAAATCGTTTAGTTTGATTTGTATATATATTTTTAAGTGATTTGTTTACCTTTCCTACACTTTGAACTCCTATCGTGTTTTGCACTGCTTCCTGTTGGAACGTTCTGACCCGCGCCTGCTGGACATCCGGATTCCTACAGCATCCCGATCAATTTCCACGTGATGATCAGCCAACTTCGTTGCGCCGTCATTCGCGACGGTCAGGCCGCGTCCGAAACCGAGCCACATGGCTCAGTCGTGGGCATCACCTGGTAACATAAAATTTAGTTGATAGTAACGGAGGGGGGGAAGGGTGGAGGAGGGTGGGGGGGCTCTCTACCTTCTCGGTGGCGAAGGTGAGCACGAGCAGAGCGAGGCACGTGGCGGCGAGGATGAGCAGCAACGAGAGCAGCAGCGGCTGCTGCTGGCTGCCGCGGTACGAGCGGTAGAGGTCGCCATGCTCGGCGATGAGCGCCGCCGCCGCACCGCCCCCCCGCACGCTGTACTTGCGGCGCAGAACCATGGGGGTGGGGGGCACTGCGGGTAGTGGGGGGGAGAGGGCGGAGGAGGAACAGAAGGAATCATCTTCGTATGTTTATGCAATATTTTTTATCACGACTCCGCCGACAATTTAATTTGACGTACAGTGACACTCCGATTGACGTCTCCCCCCTTTAACGCCGCTTTGCAGAAAACGTTGTCGCTTTATTACGAACAGGGCGACGTGGCTCGCTCCGCCTGAAGCCACGCTTACGTCGCCGACAGCGTCGTCCGTCCTTTCTCGTAGACGTCGCCTTCTCAGCCCTCGCCTCCGTCGTTTCGACATTCGCCGTCGCACTTTTCAGGAACGCATCCCCGACGTAAACCGGGGTATGACTGCAGATCCTCGTCTGTTTACACAGCTTTTAAATAGTCACTCTCTATTCGTTTATGGTTTCCGTAACTTCATTTTGTAGTTGTGCTGTGATCGGACCAAATCTCATCTGCCCGAGCCAACTTGCGCTACGGGGAATGTACGGTTAAACATTTAAATCTGTTTCTGAAATATTTGTTAAATTTTTCATGCACCACAGTTGTTTCTGTTCTGATTTCTATTTCCTTTTTTGCTGTTAATTTATTTTTTATTTGTATCGCTTTGGTCAAGTTGCTTCAGCAGGTCACTCTAACCTAGTCTCTTGAGTTTTTAACTTCATAAAGGTCATTATCAAGGTCATCATCATCAGCAGAACCTTTGCAGCAGCAACAAAAACAGTCTCTTGACCATGATGTTCAACATCACGACCATCATCATCATCACCATCAGCAGCAGCTGCAGAAGCAGCATCGCCATCATCGACGTTATGCAATTTGTAACACGTGCGATATTTAACGGACATAAATGACCGTGTGACTCTGGCGCAGAGCCACAAATTGTCGCTCGAAAGCCAGACTAGAGAGGTGTGGGGCCTTTTAGAAAGAGGTGGGCCTCATCATCACCATCAGCATCCCTTCTGACCCCACCTCGTACGACCACAGCATACTTAGCAGCAGCGTCCCAATAAGTAGCGTCACCATCATCATCACCACCACCACCACCGGTATTTGCAGCCATCACAAATCATCATCATCATCACCACACTCACCCGTGATGATGATGGATGTTAAAAATGTCACGGACAGAATAAGATGTGTCTATATTATTATTGTACTTAGTTTTCCAGAACAGCCACAATTGTCTAAAGTAACACATGAGAATAATTACAGAAAGGCAAAGTTTGATTTCTTGGACATGAAATGAGAAGACAAGACACGGAATACGACTGTAGGTTTTGACCAGGAACATCGTACAGTAGGTATCACAAGAAGCCTGGGAAGGCAGCGAATTAAGAAGTTACAGAAGCAGTCTTGATTTGAAGCTTTCGTGACTGCAGGAATCCATACTCTTTGGTTATTTCGGTAAAGTCACGTAGGTAGAAAAATAAATAATAGATCACGACGTTTTGATCGCAACACAAGCAATCATCATCAGGTGGGACAACAACGGCAAGAAAAAACTGCTGAAATAGAAGCAAATTGAACTTTTGGATGCAACTGGGAGAAGCATCTCATGCAGAGTTGTTGCGTAAATATCACGGACAGGGCTACCCGAAAGGAAGGAGGCCAATAATGCCGACGTCTCTGAGAAAGGCCACAGTGAGATGTGGCCTTTAGAGAACCTAAGACATATATATGGCAACGTTACAGGCAATGGCCCTGCTTCACATCACAAACATGTGTGCGCTCATAACGACGGGAACCCCCGCACCCAATGGCGGAGCCAGGATTTTCAGGTGGGGGGGGCAACCCCTCCAGCAATGAAAAATGATAGAGGAGTTGTTAGCAGGTAAGGAGTTGTTAGCAGGTAAGGACTTGTCCCTTGCTTTTTATTCGACGCGTGTGCAATGATGGTGCAGCCATCAATCGAGGGTCGAATTCGAACCGCGTCGTGTGATCGGCATCGCGCTCGAAGTGGTGTACTGTATACGCAACTGCGCACAATTCTGTGAGTCACTTATAACTGCTTTGCCGTTACTTATTACCAATTCAAGACTATTGTCCTATCATCTCATAGAATCCCTGGCACATCATAATATGCTACACAGTGGCAGTGGGGGTCGCAAAATGCCTATGTATTACTAAAAAACCCCAATGATCCGATCAAAATTAGGGATTTCGATCGGATCATTGGGGGGGCACGTTCCACCCCCACCCCCCACTGGCTCCACCAGTGCCCACACCCCATGTGGCGTCTCCACTGCGCACCCCACGGGACGCTATTGTCCAATTTCAAATGTGAAATTGTAGCTGTTGCTCTGCATCTACATCATCCGTGCGACAAAGGTGCCCCCCTCCCTCCACCTCCCTCCCCGCCCTCGTAAATGCGCTCATTTGTCGTGCAAGCGGCGCTCCCTTTGATGTTTACTGCTGCGCGGACCTTCACCGCTCCCCACTCCCTGCACTCGCTCGCTCCCCGCGCCCGATTATTACTAATTCGAGACGGGGCCAGTGGTCACGGCCCACCAAAGGCAAAGATCCCCCGTATAGCCTTTAACAGCCTGTTGCGGCAAGTGCGGTGAGTGAGCGACACTTATGGAAGGGGAGCACGGCATATGAGGTGGGTGGCCAGCATTGTGCCTGGCCACCTTTGTCTCCCCAGTGGCGATGTTTACACACTGGACCACCAGGTACTCATCTGAAGCGGTGTCTACCTCGGGGAGGCCCCCGGGGACCGGTTCAGATAGTCGTTTCTGGTTTCGGCCGTGAGCGGGAATCGAACTCTGGTCGCCAGGTCCGTAGCGCGGTGCGCTAACCGCTGCGCCACCGCTCCGCCACCAAAGTGCCCCTGCTAGCGTACGACTCGCCAGTAACGTCTGGCCGACCCACAGCAGAATTTCTTGAACACGCCTGGCTCCTGCTGACGAGACCCAGAAGGTGGAAAGCAGACCAGGGGTTTCCTTTGCTTGAGCAAATGCTGCTGCTGCTGGACTATATTGGTCCGATGTGTGTTTGGAGAGCATGCTGTCATCCTGCTTCTGCTATTGTATGCTCTGAAGAAGGGGCACTGCTCGAAACGTCGCCAGTGAGATCGATTGCAAGTCCTCGTGCTTGTTGGGTTTAGTTTGTTGTCCTTTAAAACCGCACCTCCGATTAGCACGGTTGGCTACGTACGGCGTGAAAGAAGTTCAACACAACATACATGATCATTGCAGAATGGCAGCTGTCATTCGTCCAATATGCGATAAACGGGGAGGGGGGATAACAAACAACGTTTCGGGCAAAGCCCCCCGACCGCCCATTTATAGCAGACAGATCGGCTTGATTTGTACCTCAAATGAATCTCTCTGCGATGGAGAAGGGAGATTTCCCGAAGCGTCTTACACATTGACCGTCTTTCTCGCTTGCAAGGCCACAGCGTTCATGACGAACGCATGTCGAGTTTATTTTTTTGGAACGCCAATAAAGGCTGACAAAAGCAAATGCATTCGAATTTATCACGTGGACACCTAACGCAGAGTGTGTATTTGCTTTTACTTTCACCTCCTGGTGTCGATAACCAAACGGATAAGGAAGAATCTATGTCAATGAACCCCCCCGCCCCTCCCCCACCCCCCTGCCCCCCCCCCCGACCGCTCCCCACCTGCCCCCCCCGACCCCTCCCCCCCTGCCTCCCCCGAACCCGGCGGCCCGAGTTCGATTCCCGCTCATGGCCGGTGACGATTATTTGAACCGGTCCTGGGCCTCCCCTAGGTCGACTCAGCCTCAAACGAGTAAGTGGTGTGGTATGTCAACATCGCCACTGGGGAGACAAAGGCGGGCGGCCGGCCGTGGTGAATCCAAGTCCATGGCGAAGTCGGGTAGTAAAGCTAGTACAGTATTTCATAAATCTTGTGTTCGGTAACTTCGGTTATATACCTTTCTGATTCGGTCTCGGTCGAAAGTGTAGTTCAACTTTCGGTTTCGGCCGAAAGTCAATTTTCAACTTTCGGTTTGGTATCGGTTTCGGCCGAAACCAGAAATTCAGTTTCGGTCGGCCTCTAGTCTCAACCCGAATCAGTCGGGCGACATCTTTTCATAGGCTGCATAATGCTGCGTGGAAACTACCCGGTCTGTCACTTCGCACGAAGTTTCGGGTCTTGTCGGCCACAGTCATGCCCTCCCTTCTCTATGCTTGTGAAATGTAGACCCCTCTAATGGAAAATCTGCACCAGTTAGAAACATTCAGGCTGGCCAGCCTACAATCCATCCTGGGTTTAACCAGGCTGGATTGTTTGTGGAGCTCATCAATCCTTGAAAGATCTGGACACAGTCCCATTAGTGAGCTCCTCCGGCAGGCAAGGCTGCGTTGGCTGGGTCATGTTGCCCGCATGCCCAGCCACTGCATGCCCAAACAGCTTCTGTTTGGCCAGATAGAGGGGGCTAAACGCCCATGACATGGGCTGGAGAACAGATTCACTGATGCGGTACAGAAGGACGTGGAGCTGAGTGGACTTGCCGAAGACCGGTATCAACAGTGTCAAGATGGGCCTCTGGAGGAGGCTCGTGAAGGACGCTCTTGGGTAGTTGGAGGCCGTCGCCCTCCAACAACAACTGAGGGCAGAGGAGCGACGCTCACAACGAGTGGGGTGCTGGGTGGATAAAATGCAGCAGGTTGACACGGTAGGGGGTATAGGTCGTGCATCTACCAGTCATCTCAGTCAGCCAACCCATGGCACCTGGGTCTGTCCCGTGACCTCTTGTCAGCCAGCCTCCGACACTTCCCGTGGCATCAAAGTGCACCTGGCCTGGCACAGGCGCCGTGGTGACGTCACCATCACTTAGTGGCGAACAGCGGGTATTGGCATGTTTTCGTGTGTTAATGTGTATTTATTCGTGTACTGTATTAGTAATGGCGTGTTAGTGTGTATATTTTTGTTTGTCTTTGTATTCGTGTTGAAGTGTATGCCTGAGATTGGGTAGCGGTAGTGTAGTGGTTAGTGCACTGCGCTACAAACTCAGCAACCCGATTCCCACTCAAGGCCAACACCAGTGACAATAATCTGAACCGGTCCTGGACCTCCCCTAGGCCGACTCAACCTTTAATGAGTAGCTGGTGCAGTGTGTAGTAAACATCGCCACTCGGGAAACAAAGGCGGCCGGGCGTGGTGCTGACCCCGCACCCCCTCTCATCATACAAGTCCGACTCGCGAACAGCACTTGCCCCAACAGTCTGTTAAAGGCTACATGGGGGATTTATGTCATTGTACTTATATGTTTGTGTGTGTGTGCGAGTGTTGGGAGCGATAAGCCAGTTTCGTTTCAGCCTCACAAACCGAGATCTGTTATCGCGGCACCAGCTTCCCGCAGATGCGGCGAGCTCACGCGGCACACGAGCACGCAGCCCAACCATGATCGGCACCAAGCAGCACCACCACCACCACCATCAGCAACAACAGTAGCACCATGAGCATCATCAGCCGCAGAATCAACAACAGCAGCAGCAGCATCATGAGCAAAATCAGCAGCAGCAGAATCAGCAGCAGTATCATCATCATTATGAGCACCATCATCATCACCATCATCATTAGCAGCGGTATCAGCATCTTAAGCATGATCATTATCAGCAGCAGCAGCAGAATCAGCACCATCTTCACCGGCATCATCGTCATCATTAGCAGCATCAGAGTCAGCACCATCAGCAGCAGCAGCACCATCAGCAGAAGCATCAATATCAGCAGCATTTCCTACATCATCACCATCATACTCATCACCATCATCATAGATCATATTAACCCGTCATCTTCACAATTGCACCAGAGCAGTGATGATGTAGCACTGCCTGTTCCCGTTACAGCCGACTGCTGTGCAGTAGCACTCGAGTCGGGGTAGGGTTCGCGATGCAAGTTGATTTTGTGTGACCAGGTGAGACTTCAAGAGACAAGGGTGGATGTCGGTTTGCTAGAGTGACCTGGGCCACTAAAATGCCAAAAGCAAAACGAATAAAAACCAAATAAAAGCGAATAGAAATCGGAGGCAAAAGCAAACTGGGTTGTCGCATGAGAAATCGAAAACATTTCACGAACATGAATCAACGTTTAGTAATAAGTTCCCCTGAAGCCTGAGTCAGCTCGTGCAGGTTGCGTTTAGATTGATCAGAGTACAGTCACAAAATTAAGTTACCGGGTTAGTGATTAGGGATACAGTTATGGAACTGGGGTATGGTTAAGAGTTCGGGTGGAGTTAGGGGTATGGTTAGGGTAGGAGTAGGATTAGACAATCGGGTTAGATGTTAGGATTAGGGATAGAGTTGAGGATAGGAGTAGGGTCATAGGGATAACATGTATTGGGGGTATCAGAATCTTTATTTATCCTGGAGAAATCCGATTAGCTATTAATCACAGATGTGATGGTGCAGGGTAGGGGTCACTGCACACTCATGGTTAGGGGTTGGGTTACGGTTAGGATTAGGGGTATGAGGGGTAAGATAGGGGGTTGGGTTCGAAATACGGTTAGGCGTAGGGTTGGGGATATGGTTCGGGCTAGCCGTTAGAGGTAGGTGTAGAGTTATAGGCTAGGGATAGTAATATTGGTAGGGGTTATGAGTAATTGTATTGTTAGTAGGGGTATGGCTTGTGGGTAAGCTTAATGAGTATGGGTATGAATAGGGGTTAGGAGTAGTGGTATGGTTAGAGGTAGGATTAGGTTAGGTGTAGGGGTATGGATATGGGTTAGGAGTAGGGCTGTGGCTAAAGATCAGAATAGAGGTTCGTGGTTATGAGTAGTGGCATGGATAGGGGTCAGGAGTTAGTAGTAGTGGTATGGTTAGGTTTAGGGGTAGGGGGTGAGGAGTAGCGGTAAGCATGGTAGTTAGTAATAAGGGTATGGTTAGAATCAGGGGTAGGAAAATGTGGTTAGGAGGAGCAGAATGGGTAGGGGATAGTAGTTAGTAGTAGGGGTTTGTTTTGGATTCGTGGTGGGGGTTAGTAAATCAGAATATTTATTTCTACTGGAAGAATCCGATGAGTTGCAAAGCTCTTTTTCACAGAAGTCCAGTCGCGTTACGAGTAGCGTAATGGATAGGGCTTAAGCCGAGGGAGAGAGGCATCGTGGTTATGGCTCCGGCGTTGGCTACGCTCTGCCCGGCAATCTCCAGGAACACGAACACGCAGATCCCGTGAACTCGCGGGGATTCCCCGTACACGAGATTTCTTTTTTTTGCGAAAGGTCAAAATGGCAAAACTAAAAATTCTACAATTTTTATGGAAGCTTATAGGCTGCAGAAATCAGCATCGACTTTTTGTTTTAATGGTCCACCCATTTAATAAGGTAAGCACCCGACAAAAGTCATTATTGTCATCATCATTAGTTTTGCGTACCAATGAAATCGATCAAAATAAAGGGTCACCCAACACAGACGAAACCTCGCCACATTCGTCCGCCAATAACTTGACGAATAAAATCGGACTCACTCACTGCGACAGGCCCGACATGTGGATCATTGTAAAAGTTTACGACAAACCCGCCGCTGTAAGTCGACCGACGGAACAGACAGTCCCGCTATTATTGCACCGCAGAGGACGTTCGCCTCGACCCAACAGCTGTTTCTACAGCTGTCTAAAAGGAGGAACGAGGAGGGGGTCACAGTCAGGGTGTGACTGTGATCCACCCCCCCCCCCCCCAAGTCCTCTCTGCCACCCCCCCTCACTCCCCCCACCTATCATTATGAATAGCCGAGACCACAACCCCACACTTCTCGCCAAGAACATTTGTCAATTTGCATGGCCACATCGCGATGTTAACGACAGGAATTTGCATTGCAGCAACATTGTAACGGAGGTGTGCAAAGTAACTATTCGGTTATGTAAGATAATATTGCCTTTAATTTTTTTTTTGCAAATCACGTGTTGCATTTTTTTAGTTGGCAGCAGAAGCAGCAAAGGCAGCAGCAGCAGTCACCATCGTTCCACGGCTGGTCAGAGCGGGGCTGCTCAAGGCGGGGAGGCATAGACGGAGTATAGTACAGTCCAATAAATCCATGGTCACCCATCAAAAGCAACTATCCAAGCTCACCCCTGTTTCGTTTTTGGAGACCTTTGCGAGATGGGTCGCATCCCCCCGGGTGATTTGGCCACAGGCAATGTGTCGACATTGTCGTGAACGTCATCAGCCATGGTCAATCCACCGCTGGATGAAGGCCCCACCATCTCTCTCGATCTCTCACGGTCTTGCGACGTAACATTCCACCGAGCAACCGCTGCACACGGGAGCTGTACACGAGCTGCGTCGCTCCATCTCCGTGATACGTGTCAAATCGTGCGTGTGTGTGTACAGCACATTGCGGCTAGAGAACTATGGAGATAGCGCACACGGGGACAGGACACGAGAAAGACAATACAGACGAGACGGTACAAACAAGATGGAACAATCGACTACATATGAGACGGACGACGCAACATCGTCAACAGCACTGATACCCATGTTGGAGACTCCAGACTGAGCATCTCATCTCATCCACATTTTGAACCACCAGCACCACACTGCAGACAACATTAAAGATAAAAATCCCCCGAATAGCCTCAACAGACTGTTGGGGCAAGTGCTGTTAGCTGGCACCTATGAAGGCTGGCACGGCACACGAGGGGGTGGGTGGCCAGCACCACGCCCGGCCGCCTTTGTCTCCCTAGTGGCGATGTGTACACATTGCACCGGGTGCTCATTTGAGTCGCTCTGGGGGAGACCTGGGAGAGGTTTAGATAATCGTCACTGGTGTTGGTGGCGTGAGCGGGAATCGGTATTCGGGTTCGCAGCGCGCTAACCGCTCCACCACCACTCTCCCCACAGGCAACATCAATACACCCACCTCGATTTGAAGCTTTCGTGACTGCAAGGATTCATATTCTTAGGTTTTTTCGGTAAAGTCACGTATGTGACTTTACCGATTGCTCACTCACCACACTGCAGGTCACCACACTTGGTTTCCTGGCTCTTCCCTCGTGGGTTTCACTCTGAAATTCCCTCCCATCATCATCGTCTCCCCCCTCCCCAATCAAGCTCTTAGAACAACAATAACCTCGCTCTATTCAACACACGCGTTCATAACTCTAAACCATTACAAACTGTGAGATGTTGCTGTTGGTTGCTGGACCGCTTGACATACTGGACCATTGGGTCTATGCTGTTAAAAACAAAACTAATAGCATTGTGACAATTATTCCAGTCTCTGCGGGATGATAATTTACAGGCTTAAATCACAACCGGTGGTCATTCCACACACGTCACGACGCCAAATATCAATGTATGTTAACCTATTCATACATCTATATTTGTAGCGTCCTTTTGAACTTTAAAGGACAAAAAAACTACGAAGCGCCCTTTGTCAAAACACTTCCAGATGAAGGTCTCTCTGCCCCATGCCGTGTCGATCGTCGAGGTTGTTTGACCATACTTCACCAAGGTGGTCAGTGCGTGTTGGTGGACAGGGAGCACAGGGACTGGTGCTGATATCACTGATGTTAGCCACCAGATTGATATAGCGCACGCACAGAGGAGTCCTTCGTATAGCCACACAGATTTAAGAGCGCCCAGTGTCATTGAGCGAGCGCACCTACGAAGGCCAGAACGGCACACGACACACACACACACGTCGCAATGATTTAAGGCTGAGTCTACCTAGAGGAGGCCCAAAACCGGTTCGGATGTTCGTCACCAGTGGTGACCGAGCGTGAGCGTAAATCGAACTCTGGGCGGCTGGGTGGGTTCGAAGCGCAGCGCGCTCACCGCTGCACCACCGCTCCAAAGACGAACACACATGCATATGCAGCAGCCCCACTCACCTGCAATGCAGGTGTCGATTAAGGGTTTGGAACGAGAAGGGAGAAGCCGTTAGCTGGCGCGTGGATGATGTCTCCTATTTCCAACACCCGTGCTAATGACAGATCTCTATGAATGTGTGTTGTGTGAATGTGTGGGTGTATGCGTGCTGTGTTTGTAAGTATATTTCTGTGTATCTATATGGCTGCGTGTGGCTATGTATGTATGTACTTGTGTGTCTGTGAGTATATATGTACGTATGTATGTGTCTGTTTATGTACGTGTATGTGTCTGTTTTTGTACGTGGATGTGTGTGTCTGTGTCTTTGTGTATTTGTCTCTGTGTGTATATGCGGTGTGTTAACCACACCACCCCCTCGAATGGCTTACCGGCCTTTCAATAGGCGCTCGCTAATAATGAAAACGAACAGCGACAATTTACACTACAGTACCAAAATCAGGAACACTTTTTGTAAAATGACACGCGTGTGGGCGTGAGTCAGTGCGTGTGTGCGTGTGTGTGAGTATATAAGTGTGTGTGAGTGTGTGTGAGTGTGTGTGGTGTGTGGGGGTGCCGTTAAGAACAGGAAGCTTTGTGGTTCCCCCCCCACCCACACTTCACGTCTCCCCTTCCTCATTCTCTCCACGGCAGTAATTTTTACCATAATCTCTGGACTATAAGACGCGCCGGAAAGTAAGACGCACCCCCCAAACTCGCGTCCCCGCTTCAACAAAACTATACAAAAAATCTGGTCACACGCACACCGGATTATAAGACGCACCGTCGATTCATCACCATCATCTATGGTTCATCCACTGCTGGATGAATCCCTCGACAAGTCGTCGCCATCCCCTTACGATCCTACCATGCAATGATGGAAAGCCACCAGCAGCACCTCGACAAGAGATGATTTTCATGGCTTCATGTCCTCGGGGGAGGGCCCATTCCTTGGCTGCCACTCGCGAGTAACAGCGAACATGCCGCTCGCAAAGCCACCTCGTGCATCATCGAATCGCTCACATGGGATCGAACCATTTCTAGATTCGCATATGGCGCTCTGGAATGATTTAACTTGACACCTGTAACCACTCGGGGCCACTACATTCTCCACATTGTTACAAAAGTCATCAATTCTTGCATCGACTCGTGAATCATCCATTCTTAGTGGCAATGTTCTACGCCGTTGTTCCTCATTGCAAGGCCCGCGGGCCACTGATGGCCGCTGGTGGCCTTCAGTGCGGCCCCCAACAATACACAACACCCCCAACCGTCGTGCAGTCAAACCCAACGATGGTTTCATGTGCGGCGGCCCCTCGCACCGATGATGTCTCATCGGCGTGAGTGGCCCCCCTCTGAACATGAGTGAAAGACACGACGCTATGCCAGTGGTTCCAAACCTTGTTTGTTTGTTTGTTTCAACCGAGTACCCTCCCCCCCCCCACCGTGGCTGACCCAACACAATGCACATCAATATTTTAACCAATTGTCCATTTCGTGGGGTATCCTAACTGGCGCGTAACTGCAAGCGAATAAAAACAAACATCAACGGACGCTCTGCACGCGTGGAGTAAATGATGTCGCACTTATCCGTTCGGCCCGTGATGGCAAATCCTCGTCACTGCCCCTCCATTCCCCACCCCCCCCCCCCCACGAGTGTTATTCCAATTGTGCTTATCGGGCGTCATCATAGCAACAATATCAACTCGTAACGCTGCGCCCTCCCGAGCACAGGATTCGGCCACTCACGGAGACCGCAAAAGGACGGCCCAGAGGCGCCAGGAGGAGGAACCGCAGACGAGCAAAAAGGTAGCAAGCAGCAGTCGACACGACGCTACCAACAACTGCCCAAGCTCTCGGGTCCTCTATATATGAAGGTGTTTATTATACATGTCGGCAGGGCCGGATTAAGATTGTGTAGGCCCTCTGGGCTACAGGTACTATGAGGCCCCCAGTAATACTTTCAAAGGGAAAACAAAGTGAAAGAAAACTAAAATGTATTTTTACAAGGCTTATTCACAAATTAAATAACTTTCAACTCCATCTCTGGCGGCCCTCCAGGTGGCGGATGCCCCTTGGGCTTGCAGCCCCTAAAGGACCCGTGCCTTAATCCGGCCCGGCGTGTCGGAGGAAAAACCCGAAGCAGCCGGATAAAAAATAACCCACGCGTGAGAGGGGGGGGGGGGGCAACCCACGCTCTCCCTATCGCACACACGAAAAATAACATTGCCTTAAAATATACGGTATAATATGCGGCGTTTTGGGTTATGGCTTTATTTATATGTCACATACAGACTGAACGGGGTTATCATTCCGTTAAGACGAGTTATCCACCCAAACAGCACATCACGCCGTGTTAGGAGAACAAGCCCGCGGAAGACGATATCACAAAACTACATCGGAGATGCATAAACATTAACACGGAAGTGAGTGGGGGGTGGGGGATGAATTGTCACGGACAAACGTGCCTTTCATTGTGACTGCGAGCTTGGATTTAGCCAAATTAGTGATAAACACATTTTAATGAGACTAGGTGTTTGTACAGTTACTCGACCGGTGCCTGAACTGAGACCAAAGCACAACCTTGCACTGTGACGTGCAAGAACCCGGTGTGATCACGGGTGGCAGAGACCAGGGCTTGAACCCAGGAAATCAGCGGAAGCCGACTCACTGGTTAGGACCACTGAAGCCACTTGGCCACGAAACGTCAAGAGAAAATGTTGATAATCTGCTTGTTTGAACGCGTTATCACCTGAATTGAGTGTTTGAGGCACGTGAATAAACGGCAGTATCACTACGATCGAATGTTAGTTACAGAACCCGTGAACTTCGCTTGGTGGTGCCACCCTCACACTCATGTTGAGGACTCGGTCTGTCACAGACTCTAGTCTAATCCACACTGTTCAACCACTACCACCACCACAACAACAAACACACTTACTCATCCACCACACTACATCCCATCATCACACTCTCACTACCCCGTTCAACCACCACCACCACAACAAACACACTCACTCATGCACCGCACTACACTCCATCATCACACACTCACTACCCCGTTCAACCACCACCATGACAACAAACACACTCACTCATCCACCACACTACAACCCATCACTCACTCACTACCCCATTCAACCACCACAACAACACACTCACTCATCCACCACACTACAACCCATCATCACACAATCACTACCCTGTTCAACCACCACCATGACAACAAACACACTCACTCATCCACCACACTACAACCCATCACACACACTCACTACCCAGTTCAATCACCACCATCACAACAACACACTCACTCATCCACCACACTACAACCCATCACACACTCACTACCCCGTTCAACCATCCACCATCACAACAACACACTCACTCATCCACCGCACACACTCACTACCCCGTTCAATCACCACCATCACAACAACACACTCACTCATCTACCACACTACAACCTATCACACACACTCACTACCCCGTTCAATCACCACCACCACAACAACACACTCACTCATCCACCACACTACAACCCATCACACACACTCACTACCCCGTTCAACCACCACCATCACAACAACACACTCACTCATGCACCACACTACAACCCATCACACACACTCACTACCCCGTCCAACCACCACCATCACAACAACACACTCACTCATGCACCACACTACAACCCATCACACACACTCACTACCCCGTTCAACCACCACCATCACAACAACACACTCACTCATGCACCACACTACAACCCATCACACACACTCACTACCCCGTTCAACCACCACCACCACCACAACACCACACTCACTCATCCACCACACTACAACCCATCATCACACTCACTACCCCGTTCAACCACCACCACCACAACAACACACTCACTCATCCACCACACTACACCCCATCATCACACAATCACTACCCCGTTCAACTACCACCATCACAACAAACACACTCACTCATCCACGACACTACAACCCATCACACACTCACTACCCCGTTCAACCACCACCACAACAACAACACACTCACTCATCCACCACACTACAACCCATCACACACACTCACCACCCCGTTCAATCACCACCATCACAACAACACACTCACTCATCCACCACACTACAACCCATCACACACACTCACTACCCCGTTCGACCACCACCACCACAACAACACACTCACTCATCCACCACACTACAACCCATCACACACACTCACTACCCCATTCAACCACCACCATCACAACAACACACTCATTTATCCACCACACTACAACCCATCACACACTCACTACCCCGTTCAACCACCACACTGCAGCTCACAACAAAGATCCCTCGTGAAGCCTGAACAGGCTGTTGGGGCAAGTGCTGTTAGCGAGCACCTATGAAGGCCGGCACGACACACGAGGGACTGCGTGGCCAACACCACGCCCGACCGCCTTTGTCTCCCCAGTGGCGACGTTTACACATCGCACCAGGTACTCATTTGAGGCTGAGTCGACCTAGGGGAGGCCCATGACCGGTTCCGATAATTGCCACTGGTGTTGGCCGTGAGCGGTAATCTTACACGACCGCTCCCCACGCACACTCAAAGTCACCCACTCGCTCACCCACCGACTCACCATCCACCGACTCACCACCCACCGACCCACCCATCCACTCACCCACCAACTCACCCACTCGCCCACTCACCACCCATCCACTCACCCACTCATCACCCACTCACTCACCACCACTCACTCACCATCCACTCACCACTCACCATCCACTCACCACTCACTCACCATCCACTCACCACTCACCATCCACTCACCACTTACTCACCATCCACTCACCACTTACTCACCATCCACTCACCACTTACTCACCATCCACTCACCACTTACTCACCATCCACTCACCACTTACTCACCATCCACTCACCACTTACTCACCACTTACTCACCACTCACCCACCCACCCACTCACCCACCCACCCACTCACCACCCACTCACCCACTACTCACTCACCACCCACTCACACACTCACCCACTTACCACTCACCACCCACTCACCCACTCACTCACTCACCACCCACTCACCCACTCACTCACCCACCCCCCACTCACCACTCACTCACCACCCACCCACTCACCACCAACTCACCCAACCCACTCACCCACCCACCCACTCACCACACTGCAGCTCACCTCACTTCTCAGTCCGCTTCTTCACTCGCACCGCTCCGCTGTATAATTATTCACACTCCCGTCGTCGTCGTCATCATCGCCGTCTCTTCACCCCCCGCCGCCGCCCCCAAAACTCTTAACAACAACAATAGTTTTGCTC